TCCTCCTCCTCCTCCTCCTCCTCCTCCTCCTCCTCCTCCTCCTCCTCCTCCTCCTTGCGCGTATGGCCGAAGGACCTGCGTCGTCGTCGTCGTAGCTGCTTGGTTTTCTCTGGACTTGAATGAGACCCAGCCCCACGCAGATGCCATTCTCCATGGCATCGCTCGGACGGGTGCATGTTCCTCCTCATCCTCCTCGTCGCCGTTGCTAGGTTTTCTTTGGACTTGAATGGGCCTAGCCCCACGTATATACCATTACCCTTGGCATCGCTTGGACGTGTGCAGCTTGTGTGCACGGCGAGGCAAGCGCCAGAGGATCTGCAGATTGGATGACCCAGCGGAAAAACGCACGCACGAAGCTGCAACATGCACGAGGAATGGGCGTCCGAGCGATGGCAAGTCTTGGCTTCTCAGCCGCCCCAATGTTGTGCCCCCAGCTCTGACAGATTGGGTACCCTGCGTCACTTGGCGGTGGTCTTGGCCCTCCTCGTCGTCTTCCTCGTCGCCGTCGTCGACGTTGTCATCGTCGTCGCCGTCGCCGTTGTCGTCGTCCTCCTCCTCATCCTCGTCGTCGCCCTCGTAGGGCAGGAGCAGCGAGTAGGGTAACGAGGGGAAGTCTGGAGGTTTGCGGCGCTTCTGGGCCTCATGGGCTCTTCTGGGTTTCTCCGGGCTCGTCACGGCGGGGTCCTGTTCGGAGGCCTGGTCAGAACGCGCTCAAGGGCCGGGTCCACACACTGCTCAAATGACATCAAGCGCTCGTGGGCCCGCGGGAGCCTGAGAGGAGGGCGAGTGGAGATGATGGTAGTTGGCCTTCGGGGGGGGGGCCCATCGTCACAACGGCTGGACGCAGCTCGGAAAACTGGTGCATTTGAACCTTGGGTGGGTGCAGGGCCGATTTTGAGCTGCGACTCAACTCGCCCCGCTCGGACAGATGGCCTTCGGTGCTTTTGGTCTGTTAGGGGGGGAGAGTGCGTCCTCCGCCTCGGAAAATGTTCTGGCAGCTGCGGCTCGCCGAGGGCATTCCAGGGATGCCCAGCAGATCGTCCCGAACGGCCGCCAGAGGCCCGAGTTCGGCCCAAACCCGAAAACCTAACAGGTGTCTCCGACGACATGGTGTGTTCGATCCCCATGTTTTTCTTCGATGTTGGCCTCTTGGCTCCTGGGACCTGCCGGAGAATTGAAGAAAGCAACCCGGGACGACAAATTGCCGCCAGGAAAGGGGTCGGGGCCTCTGGGGCCGTGAATTCAAAAAGATCACATCTCGGCGGCACCTCAACATAATAATACTATGTGTGCGTCGCTCCCCCAGGGCCGACGCGCGCACCGAGAAATCTTGTAGTGTATGCGTTGTGGCGGACGATTTCTGGCCGTACCGCTCGGCAAGCGATATACTACAAGACGGGTGTATATTATATGTTCGGGTCGGGCGCGCGCCTCCGAGGAGGTCATGTAGTATCAGTATATGTCTGCGCGAAGCGGGCCAGGGCAGTTCGTTTTGAGGGCAATTCGTCTCAGTCGCCATCTGGTTTCCAGCAGGTCTCACTCGGGAGGAGAGGGCGATGACGGTCCTGCGGCAGGGTTGCTGGCCGACTCCCCGGCACGAGCTCTGGACAATGATCAGGTGTGTGCGTTGCCCCCCCCCCAAAAAAAAATGGGGGCCACACGCGAACCCTACCCCTACCCCCCACGATTTCTGAGGGGGAGGGTGGGGGTCACTTCGTCTGGGAGCTCCCGAGCGAAGTGAACCCCACCCTCCCCCTCAGAAATCGTGGGGGGTAGGGGTAGGGCTCGCGTGTGGCCCCCTCAAAAATTGACTTTTTTTTGAAAAAGAAGTGTGCCTCTGTGCGTCTCAACATCGCCGGACGTCTGGGCACGCGGGGGGCCTTGCCGAAAGGCCCTCGCCTGCGGCGCGCCCTCGTCCTCGGCGGAAGGGACCGGCGGAGGTCGAGCCGGCGCGGGTCCGCCGGCGAAGGCTCCTCGGCAGAAGGCTGGCGGGAGGCGGCGGAAGAAGAAATCCGGCGTCGGCAGTTTTTTCCCTCCTCCTCCTCCCTCGCCGTCTCCTCCTCCTCCTCCTCGTCCTCCTCCTCCTCCTCCTCGCTCCTCGCTCCTCCCTCCTCGTCCTCCTCGTCCTCCTCGTCCTCCTCCTCCTCCTCGCTCATCGCTCCTCCTCCTCCTACTCCTCCTCCTCCTCCTCCTCCTCCTCCTCCTCCTCCTCCTCCTCCTCCTCTTCCTCCTCCTTGCTCCTCGCTCATCGCTCATCGCTCATCGCTCATCGCTCATCGCTCATCGCTCATCGCTCCTCCTCCTCCTCGCTCCTCGCTTCTCCTCCTCCTCCTCCTCCTTGCTCCTCGCTCCTCGCTCCTCGCTTTTCGCTCCTCCCTTCTCCTCCCTAGACCCTCGTCCTTCCTTCCTCCCTGCTCTGGCCCCGCTCCCCCCTCCTTCCTCGCTCCCTCTTCCCTCCTCCCCCTCCCTCCCCCCGCCTCTGCCTCCTTCTCCTCCGGCAGATGGACGCCGTCCCTCGAAGAAGAAGTTATCCCGGCAAAGCAACCTAACAGCGATGTGTATAAGCATATTTGGAAGCAGTCCCCTTAAGATTCAGGTGAGAATCCTCATGTAGAATTCTGTTGTTCTCGCAGTCGCAGTCGCATTCGCAATGACAGTCGCAGTGGCAACGGCCTTAGGATGCAATGGAGTCCTAAGGATTCCTAGGGATTCCTAAGGCATCCTTAGGCATCCTTAGGAATCCATAGGAAACCTTAGGAATCCTTGGGAATCCTGGTTCCTAGGGATTCCGATGGATTCCTAAGGATTCCTAGGGAATCCTAAGGATTCCTAAGGATCCCTGAGGATGCTTAACTATGCCTACGGATTCCTAAGGATGCCTACGGATTCCTAAGGATTCCTAGGGATTCCTAAGGATTCCTATGGATTCCTACGGATGCCTCAGCCTGCCTCAGTTTCAGCCTCAGCCTCAGCCTGCCTTGGCTTGCCTCAGCCTCAGCCTCAGCCTGTCTCGGCCTCAGCCTCAGCCTGCCTCGGCCTCAGCCTCAGCCTGCCTCGGCCTCAGCCTGCGTCAGCCTCAGCCTCAACCTGCCTCAGCCTCAGCCTCAGCCTCAGCCTCAGCCTGCCTCGGCTTGCCTCAGCCTCAGCCTCAGCCTGCATCGGCCTCAGCCTGCCTCGGCCTCAGCCTGCCTCGGCCTCAGCCTGCCTCAGCCTCCCCTCCTCCCCCCCCCTTCCCGCCCACCTCCGCCATTCAGCCTCACGTTGTCTCAGCTGCGGCCTGCCTCGGCCTCATCCTCAGCCTCAGCCTCAGTCTCAGCCTCAGCCTGTCTCGGCCTGAGCCTGCCTCGGCCTCAGCCTCAGCCTGCCTCAGCCTCAGCCTGCCTCAGCCTCAGCCTCAGCCTGTCTCAGCCTCAGCCTGCCTCAGCATCAGCCGCAGCCTCAGCCTCAGCCTGCCTCGGCTTGCCTCGGCCTCAGCCTCAGCCTGCCTCGGCCTCAGCCTCAGCCTCAGCCTGCCTCAGCCTCAGCCTGCATCAGCCCTCAGCCTCAGCCTGCCTCAGCCGCGGCTTGCCTCAGCCTCAGCCACAGCCTCAGCCTCAGCCTCAGCCTGCCTCAGCTTCAGCCTCAGCCTCAGCCTGCCTCGGCTGCCTCAGCCTCAGCCTCAGCCTCAGCCTGCCTGCCTCAGCCTGCCTCAGCCTCAGCCTCAGCCTGCTTCAGCCTCAGCCTCAGCCTCAGCCTCAGCCTCAGCCTGCCTCAGCCTCAGCCTGCATCAGCCTCAGCCTCAGCCTCAGCCTGCCTCAGCAGCCTCAGCCTCAGCCTCAGCCTCAGCCTCAGCCTGCCTCAGCCTCAGCCTCAGCCTCAGCCTCAGCCTCAGCCTCAGCCTGCCTCGGCGTGCCTCAGCCTCAGCCTCAGCCTGCCTCGGCCTCAGCCTGCCTCGGCCTCAGCCTGCCTCAGCTCGGGAATTTAAAATATGGCACAGGACTGGTGTTCTGGGAGCACGAAGATCACGAAGTGGCCCACAGTTGGCTCCGGGCAAGCAAAATATGGTACAGGAATTGTGTCCTGGGAAGACGAAGAACACGAAGTGGCCTACAGTTGGCTCCGGGCATTCAAAACGTGGCCTGGGAATGGTGTTCTGGGAATACGAAGAACACGAAGTGGCCTACAGTTGGCTCCGGGCATTCAAAATGTGGCCTGGGAATGGTGTTCTGGGAATACGAAGAACACGAAGTGGCCTACAGTTGGCTCCGGGCATTCAAAATGTGGCCTGGGAATGGTGTTCTGGGAACACGAAGAACACGAAGTGGCCTACAGTTGGCTCCGGGCATTCAAAATGTGGCTTGGGAATTGTGTTCTGGGAATGGATTCCTAAGAATTCTTAAGGATTCCTAAAGATTCATGGGGCTGACCCTTTTGTCCGGATCTGTCCGGATCCCGCACAGACCCCCTTGGGGAGTCAAGATGCTTTCTTTTGAGCCGCCTCCTAGAAACCTATCAGTCTTCGCTGTTAAGTAAAAGCGGCATAAACGTAAACTCTTGGCGCCCCGCGCGGATTTCTTGGATCCGCGCTGGGCCCCCCTGGCAGCGCCTCCGGCCCTGCCCGGCGCGCTCCGCGCGCCAAGGAGGGGGGTCCCGGGGCAAATCCAGGAAATCCGTGCGGAGCGCCAAGAGTTTAAATTAATGCCGTTTTTTTTATTCCCAGAGTCGGCCATGTGAGCGGTTCTGGGGGCCGATGGCGAGTGGGCTTCGCAAAGAGATCGTGGCCCCGAGAAGGAGGAGCGCGTTCGTTGCCCGACTGCCTGCAGCTGGAGTGAGGCCCTGCGTCCAGACTTCGACAGATTGATGTTGTCAGGTCCGGGGCCCCAGTGGCCTGAACTCATGTCCTGAGGGCAGCGACTGTCCTAGATTAATTTTGTGTCGGGGCCCGAAAACGGACTCCCGCTGCCGAAATCAAAGAGAACCACTGGGACATAAAACACATTAGTCCCGCTCGAGGTTCCCGTAGCCATTTTGGCTCAAGTTTTTGTGGCTCAACTGTAATTTTCTGCTCGACGCACATCTGCCTGAGTGAGCAAGTGCAAACTATCGTCGCAAGAGGCACCTGGGAATTGCCGCTGCAAAATTCGGCCATGCAAGAACGTTCCCACATCAGCCATCACGCCCTCGTATCAGTCAGACGGCGCGTTCATGGTGAGTCTACTGTTTGCCTTGCGTCGTCATTCGCACGAGGGTTTCAGAAAATCAGCTGGTATCCGTTTCCTTGTTTTGCCAGCTGCAGAGTTCAAGCACATATTGTTGGAACTTCCAGAGAGCGCGCGTATGACTAGGACTGCTTTCGAAGGTGCCCCGTTGTCCACGTTGAACCCGTCTCTTCGAGGTAACGTCCTTGCAGAGTTGGCTCGCGAGGTTGATTGTGAATTGCACGCGGAGTCGACCCTTCAGGATCCACTTTTAAACGGACGGGTGGGATCGGCGGAGTATGACTGGCTTAGGGATGGCTTGCGGATCGAGTGCAAGAGCTCAATGATGGCTTGGCGGTCTTCTGCGAAGTGTTGGCATTTCTGTTTCCAGGGCGTCAAGATTGCCCACAATCAAGCGCGAATGACGTCTGCATTTGATGAGTTGATCCTTGTCTTGTATACACCTCGATATTTGTATTTTTACAAGCATGACGGGACATTTGCCTTCTCTTCTGTTGGATTGCGCACAGCCGTACAGGGTCACCAAATTCAAATATCCGGCCCTAGATGTGAGAAGGATTGGACAACGTCTTTGCGCAGCATCCTCCGCAAGCTGGATGACGAGACAAACACCTGCTCGCTCCAGTCAGTGATGCCTCTCACAGATCCCCGCATCAGCCGCGCGCTGTCCCAGAGATGCCATATGACCAATCAGATTTTCCTTGGTGCTCCATTGTCTGATATTGCTCCGGCTGTGAGGGGTAAAAGGATCGAAGCGCTTGCATGCCGCGTTGATGGAATCGTGAACCGCGGTGCTCACATTCAGAATCCGGGACTCGGGCATTGTGCGAACGGAAGTCGGCGTGGACTGCACCAGTCTGCATTTGATTGGTGCCGAGACGACATCCGTGTGGAATGTAAGAGTGGACAGCTCTGCTGGGATCGATCTGGACGGCGTTGGAAGGTATCTTTCCAGTGCGTAAAGCTGAGGGGGCTCATACAGTTTGACGAGCTCCTCCTCGCGATTTACACGCCTAAGGGTATTTACATTTACCGCCACGATAATGAGAGCTTCGTGGCGTCCAATGGTGCGTCTACACATTTGAAAGGACACCGGGTGAACCTTTATGGTCCTTGCCAGGAAGCAGATTGGGTCAAAGCGTTAGACGCAATTCTCTGCAAGCTCGACCGCTCTGGCTGCCAGTCCGTCGCATTCGTGGAGTGGTGAGGCGGCAGGTCGTGGACTGCATCTGCGCGTGAAACACGCTTCCCTTGGTGCTTCCGCAGGAGTCCACCCTGCGGAGTCCTCTCCACGAGCCCCTCGTCAAGGAGCGGGCGAATGACGGCACAACAGAAACATTTCCGCGATCGGGGACGCTCGTCCCAGGGCGGCTGGAAAGTTTACACGGCGCCCCCGTTGGAGGAACCGCTTTTGTTTTAGATTGCTTCGTCCGCTAATTTAAGGAGCAACCCCCAATGGATGAGGGTGGGGCGTGAACTGTGCTTCTGCGATATGTGCATGCGATGGTACAGTCGCCCAACTCTGACGCTATGGTATGAATGAGGGTCATTGTGCGCGGTGAGAAAATTAGTCCCGCTCGAGGTTCCCTGATGTTGGCCTCCGGGGGCCCGCTTCGGGCCGCGGGTCCGTCACAAATCGATCCAGGATGCACCTGGGACGGTCCAGGATGAACCGAAGGAAGTTTGACGTCGGTAGCGAATAATGATAAGGCTTCGCTTCAGAGGTTTTGGAGCGGTTCTGGAGGTTCACGTCGCCACGGCTGGACGCAGTTCGCAGAACTATGACGATGACGGACGATGATCAAACCATGAGAGGCATCCAGGGACCGACTTCGAATGGAGGAGGAGGAGGAGGAGGAGGAGCAGGAGCAGGAGAAGGAGCAGGAGCAGGAGGAGGAGGAGGAGGACCAGTGCCAAACCCAGACTCATCAACGATATTGCAATGAACCCTCCCTCCAAGTTCCCGCTTCCAAGGCCCCAACAAGGATTCATGCGCCCTGTTTGAAAACAACCGTTTGAAATCCTGAGCGGTGCCAAACCACCATTCCTGGGACCTCCACGTCGCGAATCACCCTTCCTGTTGCGTCTTGACGATCCTGAATCGTGACAGAACGCCATTTTTGAGACCCCAGCACCACGCATCAACAGAACTGTTGCGCCCTGACTGCCTGACACCGTGCTAGAATGCCATTTCTGGGACGTTAACAATGATAATCCTTGAAGCTGCTGCAACCTGTTAAAACGAACACGCGCGGAGCCACATTTGAAATGAGCCGCCCTTTACTCGTGAAATTATCGCAAATTTGAACGAACGGATGCGCACGCACGGCGCTAAGGCGAGAGCCACACGCGGAAAACGACGTGCACCCCATCCGTGAAGCTCTTGCAACGTTGGCAAGACTGATGTGCGGCGCGGCGCTAAGGCGAGACGAGAGCCACCATTTCCCAACCATCCTGTGGTGTTGGGCTCTCGTTTTGAAGAGACAGCGCCCCGCGTCTCCTCTCCTCTCCTCCTCCTCGTCCCCCCCCCCTCCCCCTCCTCCCTCCTCCCATCCATTGCATCTGCGCTCCGCATGCCCATGCCATTCGGGCACACCTCTCACACGGTTCGTGGCCAAATAGGGAGACCCACCGAAGGCCTCAGCGGCAGGGTCCGCATGCGTCCCCCCGCTCAGTTCGGCACACCTTTCACGAGGATCGTGGCCCCATAGGGAGCTCCACCGAAGGCCCCAGCGGCATGGTCCGCATGCGTCCCCCCGCTCAGTTCGGCACACCCCTCACGAGGATCGTGGCCTCATAGGGAGCTCCGCCGAAGGCCCCAGCGGTAGGGTCCACATGCGCCCCCCCGCCCATTTTGGCACGCCCCTCACAAGGATTTTAGCCCCACAGGGAGCTCCACCGAAGCCCCCAGCGGCAGGGTCCGCATGCGTCCCCCCGCTCATTTCGGCACACCCTTCACGAGGATCGTGGCCTCATAGGGAGCTCCACCAAAGGCCCCAGCGGCAGGGTCCGTATGCGTCCCCCCGCTCAGTTCGGCACACCTCTCACGAGGATCGTGGCCCCATAGGGAGCTCCACCGAAGGCCCCAGCGGCAGGGTCCGCATGCGTTCCCCCGCTCAGTTCGGCACACCCCTCACGAGGATCGTTGCCCCATAGGGAGCTCCACCAAAGGCCCCAGCGGCAGGGTCCGCATGCGTCCCCCCGCTCAGTTCGGTACACCCCTCACGAGTATTGTTGCCCCATAGGGAGCTCCACCAAAGGCCCCAGCGGCAGGGTCCGCATGCGTCCCCCGGCTCATTTCGGCACACCCCTCACGAGGATCGTGGCCACGTAGGGAGCTCCACCGAAGGCCCCAGCGGCAGGGTCTGTATGCGTCCCCCCGCCCATTTCGGCACACCTTTCACGAGGATCGTGGCCCCAGAGGAGCTCCACCGAAGGCCCCAGCGGCAGGGTCCGCTTGCGTCCCCCCGCCCATTTCGGCACGCCCTTCACGAGGATAGTATCCCAATAGAAAGCTCCACCGAAGGCCCCAGCGGCAGGGTCCGCATGCGTCCCCCCGCCCAATTCGGCACACCTTTCACGAGGATCGTAGCCCCGTGGGGAGCTCCACCGAGAGCGGTACCCACAACGCGGCACTCACAAGTGCATATGGTTGGGTCTTTCGCCAGGATAATTCTTAAACCACCCGCCCTCCATGCGTGAAATTTCTGCATATTCCAAGCTTCAGGATCATGAGCGGTGAGGAAGTCTCAGGCGAAACGCATGGCCCGCCCTCTCGACTGGCCTTGGGGTGCGACCGGGAGGCGTCATGTATAAGGAAAAGGACTGGATAAGGAATGAGATTCGAGGTGCGAGGTGTGAGGATCGAGGATCGAGAGTATTGCAAGCGCTCGGCCTGTGTAGCGGGGCGGGAACCTCCCCCAGGAACTTCTAGAGACCTCCGGTCTGGGGAATCCCACACGGCGCGTATTACAGGAAGGGCCTCGGCGTCGGCGTGTCTCGCCCTCGGCGGAAGCCAGCGGAAGGCCGTGGACAGTGAAACGGCGGCGGGTCCGTGGGCGGAACCGACTAGACGTAAGAGCGACTTTTCGCCAGAGTGACTTCTGGTCCGGGCTCATTGGGGCCCCCCCGATCGCCGAACGCGATGCGGCAGTAGCGTCTTGCGCGCTCGTGTTTGGTCCCCCCGCGGCCCCCAACAAGCCGGGCACCAAAAAGGTCACTAGCCGACGGGAGCTCAGAGGAAGGCGAAAGTCAAAGTGAGACGCGTCGGCATGCTTAATTCCCAGGGTTTCCAGAATCGGAAACGAGAAGGGAGGTTCTGAGGGAGAGGGGGTCTCGAGTGAGGCTTCTCGCCGTTCTCGGGCTCCGTGGGCTCCTCCTAGGCCCAGGGACGGTCGAACATCGTCTTGGGGTCGGGTCTGGCCAGGGTTCCGGGGGAAGCCGCTGGAGGAGTGAGGGCGAGGGGGGAGGAAGGGAGGGAGGAAAGGAGGGAGGATGAGGCAGAGTAGGAGGGAGGAGTAGGAGGAGGAGGAGGACGAGGAGAAGGAGGAGGAGGAGGAGAAGGAGGAGGAGAAGGAGGAGAAGGAGCAGGAGGAGCAAGAGGAGGAGGAGGAGGAGGAGGAGGAGGAGGAGGAGCAAGAGGAGGAGGAGGAGGAGGAGGAGGAGGAGGAGGTCCAGTGTAAACTCAAGAGTCATCAACGATGTTGGAATTAAACCTCCCTCCAAGCTCCCTCCTCATAGGCTCCTACAACGGTTCATCTCCATTGAGGGAATTGCCTCGTTGGAAGACAACCGCTTGAAGAACTTGAAGCATGCCAAAACATCGTTCTCGGGATTTCCACGCCACAGATCAACCTGACTGCTGCGTCCTGACGATCTGGAATCGCTCCAGAACGCCGTTTTTTTAGATTTCAGCACCACGAATCAACAAATCTGTTGCACCCGCGTAATCTGGAACCCTTCCAAAACATATTTTCTGGTACATCGGTCATGGGAATCCGCCAAACTCTTGCCAATGTCTAAAAAGAATGTGCGCGGCGCTAAGGCGAGAGCCCCATGTTGAAAAGGAACAGCCTGCAACCCGTGAAACTCTTGCAAATGTTTAAAAAACGAATGTACGCGGCGCTAAGGCGAGAGCCACATTTTGAAAAGAAACCGCCCTCAATCCGTGAAGCCCTTGTAAATGTTGAAAACGAATGCGCGCGGCGCTAAAGCGAGAGCCACATTTTGAAAACCACCCGCCCTCAATCCGTGAAGCCCTGGCAATGTGTTTAAACGAATGTGCGCGGCGCTCAGGCGAGAGCCACATTTTGAAAACCACCCGCCTTCAATCCGTGACACTCTTTTAATTGTCTGAAACGAATCTGCGCGGCGCCAAAGCGAGAGCCACATTGTGAAAACCACCCGCCCTCAATCCGTGAAGCTCTTGCAAATGTTGAAAACGAATGCGCGCGGCGCTAAGGCGAGAGCCACATGTTGAAAACCACCCGCCCTCAATATGTGAAACTGCTGCCATCTTTGAAGCTTCAGAGCCAGAATTGGTGAGGAGGTCTCAGGCGGAACACCCGGCCCGCCCCAGAAACTGGCTTCGGGGCGCGCCAGGGAAAGGTCGCTAACAAGGACAAGGAATGGAGCAGCAGGAGGAGCAGGAGGAGGAGGAGGAGGAGGAAGGTTGGGCCAGGACCCGCCTGCCTCAGGAGCCCCCTCCTCCCCCCGCGCCGAGGTGGGGCCCCTGGCTGCTGCCAGCGGCCCCGGCCTGGTGGGTGGCCGGCGCCGCGGCCGCGGCCGCCGCGGCGGCCGCCGCGGCGGCCGCCCTGGTCCTGCGGCTGGCCGCCAGGTGGCCGCGGCCGAGCCTGGCGGACGCCGCGCGCCGCGAGGCCACCGCGGGCGGCGGCAGCCGCGCCGCGGGCGGCGGGCGCCGGCGCGCCCGCGGGGCGGCGGAGGCGGAGGCGGAGAGCCCGCAGGAGCGGCGGCGGAGTGCGAGCCGGGAGTCGGGCGCGGCCCGCTGCAGCTGGAATACTCCGAGGTGGTCAAAACCATAGTCTGGGATCGATTTTTGTTTGGAGTGTTGTTTGGCCATTCCTCTTTTTTCTTCTAGGCTGGGAACGATGTTTTGTTGGAGTATTGTTTGGCCATTCCTCTTTTATTTGTTTCTATGTTTTTGGTTGTCGTCCAAAATCCCCCTGTGGGAAGACATGCCCGACCTAAGCCTGGGCGGCGCGCGCGAAGGGGGTGGCGCGAGGGGGGGGGGGGGCCTTCGAAGTGCAGGCAGCCCGCAGAAGCAGGAGGGGCGGCCTTCCCCCAAAAGGCTGGCCGTGGCCACGTTCGCTGGCCGCGCCCCGCACGCAATACGGGCTCTGAGATGGCTCTGGGGGGGGGGGGGGCTCTTCACGGGGCTCGGCAAGGCCTTCCTGTCAGAGCTCGGAGGGTTTGTGGACGGCTTCGCGCTTCGCAGGAGGCGTGTGGGCTCCAATCAGGCCCCCAAGGCTGGCCTTGGCCAAAGCAGCCTGCCCCGCGCGGCCCATCCTTGGTCACGTTCGCTGGCCGCGCCCCGCTCGCAAAGTGTCGGCGTGGCCTTCCAGGGCCCTTGCATCCTTATCGCGCGTCCTTGTGATACGGGTCGACTGTAGCCGGCGTGCGACTTCGAAGAGCCTGCAGGCTTCTTGAGAGCCGCGGGGGCTTCCAAGAAGGCCCCTGCCTTCTCAGAAGCCCCCCTTGGACTTCTTGAAAGGTCGTCTCCCCCCCGAGCGGTACCCCCCTGTGCGCGCCGCCAGTTCCCCCCGCCGATCCACGATTCAGGCAACTCGATGGGCGGCGGGGGTTAGGGTTCGGCAATTGTCGGACACGTGGCGAAATCCGAACCCTACACATTGTCCATGTCTAAGTATTTGAAAATGCTCTGATTTTTGGGGGGGCCAAGATCCTTTCATTTCTAGTTGTTCTATCCTAGGCCTCTTCCTGGCCACTAGGGGGCCAGGAACAATTAGAAGCGAGCGCCATTAGAGATGAGCACGATTAGAAATGAACGACGTGTACCCCTTCCTGCCATCGATCTGAGGATTTGGGGGGTAATAAGGTTCGGATGCCGCCACGCACAGGAGCCGCTGGGCGAGCTGGAGGACCTGGCGGCCCCCGAGGCCTCCTCGGGCCAGTGGGGCCAGGGCGAGGCGAGCCGCGGCGGAGGGCGGGGTCGATGGCGCGGGCCTCCGTGCACGGGCCAGCTGCGCGAGGTCGCGCGCAGGCGCCCTCCTCTCCGCGCGGTGTGCCACGCCGGCGGCCCGAGCAGGCCACAGCGGAAGGCCCCCGTGTCGTCGTGCGTAGGACCCCTCTCGCTTTTTCGTCGCTCGGGTGAGAGCGACGCCAAACGAGCGGGGTCGTCTGCGCCGACATTGGCGCGTAAGCTCCCCGCGTAAGGTCGCACGTAAGCGCCCTCGCTGCCCATGCAGGCTGCGGCGTAAGGTCGCTGTGTCGTCTCGCGTAAGGACCATTTTTGCTTTTGATCGTCGCTCAGGTGAGAAGGCCGGTCCGCGCCGCCGGCGGCACGCGGGACGAGGCGTGCGACGTGGAGGGTCTGCCAGGCTCGCAGCGGGTCTTCTTGAAGACGTACGGCTGCGCACACAATGGCTCGGACGCGGAGTTTATGCTGGGGCTGCTGCGCGACTACGGGTACGCGCTGACGGATCAGCTGGAGGATGCGCACGTTTGCGTCGTCAATTCTTGACGCTTCGCGTATCCCCACCAGCCCATTCAGACACGATCGCCAGGCGAGTTGCCTTTGCTGAGGGCAGCGTAGAAGCGTACAGTGTGACTGCCGCCCTGGATGCCTTTCGGGGGTGCGGGGAGGGCGGGAACATTTGTTGTATGAGCCGTTAAAAGGTAGATTGAACAGGGCGACCTGGCGCCGTTTTAGCTCTATGGGGTCTTCTTGGGGTCTTCGACAATTTTTGACCTGCCACGGTTACGGTATCGGGGAGGGGCTCCTGCACCACCATGTTGCCAATGGTTTTGTTTGTCCAACCGGGGTTGTTATTTTTGTGTACAAAAATCAGAGGAGGAGGAGGAGGAGAAGCAGAAGGGGCAGGCGGAGGAGGAGGTTGCATGCAATGCAGCCCTGGATGTGTCATTCGTTGCCAATGAATGGGTTTAGGAACACATAAGATCAGATTGCCCTAGGGGAGGAGGAGGGGGAGGAGGAGGAGGAGGAGGAGGAGAAGGGGGAGGAGGAGGAGGAGGAGGAGGAGGAGGAGGAGGAGGAGGAGGAGGAGGGGAAGGAGGAGAGGTCTTGGTGGTCCTTGGGGCCTTGGGGCCTCCTGTAGCGTTGTTGATGTTTCGAACGAGCATCTTGGCATCTTGGAGCCTCTTTGGTCTCTCGTGGGAGCCTCTTGGGGGTCTCTTCAGGGCCTCTCTGGTGATGCGCGCCTCCCTGAGGATGCTGGGCGCCCCTTTGGGCTCTCTTGGGGTCATCTTGGAGGAGATCGGTCAAAGAAGGGGGGGGTCCCAATTGAGGCCCCCCCCTTGGAGGCTCCAAGATAGGCTCTTGGGGACCTCTTGCCCCGCTCTTGGGCGTCTCTTTGGCGTTCGTTGGGCCGTCTTGGGGCAGTCTTGGGCCCCTCTCGGGCCTTTCTTGGGCCATTTTGGGGCCATCTTAGGCCCAAGATGCTCATCGGAAACGGAAAATGCGAGAAGCCACTAAACATTGATGTTCCTCGGGCTGTTTGAAGGATGATGGCCTCTTGGGGGGGGGGGGCATTGGGAGGCTCAAAGGGCACTTGGAACCGTCTTGAGGCTGTCTTGGGCCGTCTTGGAGGCATGTTTGAGGCTATCTTGAGCGATGTTGAAGTATCTGGAACTATCGTCGAGGTCGTCTTGGCCTCCTTTGGGCCCTCTTGGAGCCATCTTGGGGCATCTTGGGCGCTCTAGTGCCTCGGGCCCCCCCCTCCTTCCAGGCCCAGGGTAGGGGGTACGGGGAGGGGTCAGGTTAGCCAGCTCGAACGAGCCAGAAGGCTCCGTCCACTCCCACCCGCCCTCCCACAACATAAGAAGCAAGTGCGTCGCGCCCGACGCCTGTCGCTCATCTTATACCGTGGGCGGCTAGACGTTCAGCGCGCGACAGGGGCTGCGTCCTATGCCTGTCGCATATTGAGCAACGTCGACGAGAAACAAGACCGCGCGCGATGTACGCCGCGCCCCGCTCCGGCCTCTCACGTTGCATCGTCGGCGACAACATGCCATGACAAGAAATTCCATGTTGACGAGCAGGCGTCCCCGCGCGATGTGCGCCGCGTCCCATTCCCGCTACGCGATTCGCAGCGCCGACGAGGAGAAAGTACATGTTGGCAAGAAAACATCGACGTTGCGGTGTTTTTTTGACGGGTAGGACGGGGGGTCCCGCGTAGGGTTGGCCAGGCGTCCGCGCGCGATGTGCGCCGCGTCAAATTCCTGCTGCACTTTTCGCAGCGTCGGCGACAAGAAAGTCCATGCTGACGAGAAAGACGTTGACTTTGTATTGTTTTTGGATAGGTAGGACGCGACCACCCGCTTAGGGCCACCCAAGCGATGTTCATTCCGTCTCATTATTGTTACACTGTTTCGCAATTCGACGACATGTTGGCGAGAAATAAGTTGAGTTCGTGCTGTTGTTCTGACAGTTTGGACGGCGGGGTTGCTATCGGCCGGCTAGGTGGGGATGCGGGGTTGTTTAATCATAGGAAGCAAGGATAAGCCCGTCTCCGGAGCAGGGGAAGGAGGGGTTGTGGCCGGGAGCTCCGTTAGACTACTCAGCCCAGAGGGCTGGTGGGATTCTTGCACCGTCAAAGGGCCGAGCGAGGACAACGCGGTGAGCTTGGCAAGGCGCGCCCAGAAGGAAGGCAAAACCGTGGTGATGACGGGCTGCGTTCCTTCTGGTGACAAGTCCATCCCAAGTCAGTTGCCAGGCGTGAGCATGTTGAGCGTGACGCAAATTAACCGCATCGTCGAAGTCGTGGAGGAGGCGTCTCGCGGAAGCGTCGTGCAGTTGTTGGGCAGTAGCCGGGTGCTCCCCTCCCTAGAGTTGCCCAAGGTGCGACGGAACAATTGTGTGGAGATCATCCCGATCAGCGGCGGTTGCCTTGGCAACTGCTCCTACTGCAAGACCAAGCACGCGCGGGGAAAGCTCTCCTCATACACGGAGGAGGCCATCGTCTCCCGTGCGTTGCAGGCGGCTGCCGAGGGTGCCAGCCAGGTGTGGCTCACCTCGGAGGACACGGGCGCCTACGGCCTCGACATCGGCACGCACATCGGCAGGCTCCTGCCCCGCGTGGCCGACGCGCTGCCGCCCGGCGTGATGCTGAAGCTCGGCATGACCAACCCGCCCTACATGCTGGCGCATATCGACGCCGTCGCGGCCGTGCTCGGCCGCCCCAACGTGTTCGCGGTGCTCCACGTGCCCGTGCAATCCGGCTCCGACAGCGTGCTGCGGGCCATGATCCGCGAGTACAGCGTGGCCGAGTTCCGCCAGCTGGTGGACGGCCTGCGGGCGGCGGTGCCCGACATGCGGATAGCCACAGACATGATCTGCGGATTCCCTGCCGAGAGCGAGGAGTCCCGGGGGTGGGGATCGAAGAGGGGAAAAACGGCATAAGCATAAACTGTCGGGGCTCCGCGCAGATTGGCACCGCGACCCGCGCTTCTGGCGCCGCCCCCGGCGGGCTCCGCGCGCCAGGGAGGGGGGTCTAGCGCCGATCCAAGAAACACGCGCGGATCTCCGAAAGGTTGTATGTATGCATGCGTTGTTCCTTTATTCTTCGGCGGCGAGCCCGGGGGGAAAGTGAGAAGGAGAAGGCCTTCTCAGAAGGCGGCGGGACTTCTCAGAAGCCCTCGCGCCTTCTCAGAAGTTTGTTGTGTCTTCGGGGAAAGCTTCGAAAACTTCTTGGAAGGCCAGGGGACTTCCGAGCCCTTCTGAGAAGGCCTTCTCCTTTTCACTTTCCCCCGTCGCTCGCCGCCACGTTATGGGAAGCAAAGCGTTCACCACCTCGAAGCCCCCGCAGCCCAACGTGGACCACAGCCCCGCGTCATCGCAGCCCAGTGCTACCCCGGCCAGGGACACAGGGGCATCAGTGGCGCGCCGCCGTTGGGGGGGCTCTCGTCGCCGTGCTCTTCAGGGTCTAGTCCGACGGCCTACTCAGTCAACGGGCATAGCGGGGATGGGCAACCTTCCCGAGGGTACCCTTTGCATCCTTGCCTCCTCGGCCGCTGTCGCTGGCCGCGCCCCGCTCGCAGAGTGTCGACATGGGCTTCCAAGGCCATTGCATCCTGATCGTGCATCCTTACGATACGGGTTGACTGTATCTTCTCTTCAGCAATAACGCGTTGGTGGGTTCCCGACGGGGGCATGTCTCTGAGATCTTCTTTGCTCCCCGATGATTCTTGGCCTTGCACGTGAAATTGGGGTCCGAGCAGACGGGGTCGGAGGATCGCGCCGCATTGCCGACGCATCGGCGAGGCGGCTCGACTCGGATCTCGATGTTCTCCGTCCCGACGTCGCCGATGCATCAGCGATACGGCATCATCCTCCGCCCCCATGTTCTGCTCAAGCCCCATTTGAGCGACGCAGAAGAAGGGGGTCGTCTGCGCCGACATTGGTGCGTAACTAAGCTGCTCGCGAAAGGTCGCGCGTCAGCGCCCTCTTCTCCAAGGTGGCGTGCCTCTCGGGCGGCCCGCGCAAGCGACCGCGTAAGGTCGCTATGCCATCTCGCGTAAGACCCGTTCGTTCGTTCGAAGAAGACGAATAAAACGCCATCGGAGGTGAGGGGGTGAGATCGAAGTGGAACGGAGAGCCCCCCACCGGGAAATCGGTTTCGGTTTCGTGTTCGTGCCGTGCGTGCGGGCGAGGCGAAGCTGCGTGGGCGGTGGAAAGGAAATTCTCCTGTGGCTGGGCCGCGGCTGGACCGAAAGGTTCTCCGCCCGGCAACCGGTGGCGCGCGGTGTCCTGCCGGTGTCCCGCTGGTGTCCCGCTGGTGTCCCGCCGGTGTCCCGTCGTGGCTGGGCCGCGGCCGGACCAAAAGGTTCTCCGCCAGGCAAGCGGTGGCGCTCGGTGTCCCGCCGGTGTCCCGCCGGTGTCCCGCCGGTGTCCCGGTGTCCCGCTGGTGCGAAAACTATAGTGAGACCGATGACGAAATCGACTGTGAGATCGATAACGAGAGAGCGACTGAGACCGATAGTGAGATCGATCGTGAGATCGATAGTGAGATCGATAGTGAGATCGATCGATTGATATCGATAGTGAGATCGCTAGTGGGATCGATAGCGAGATCGAGAGTGAGATCGACAGTGACATCGCTCGAGTGAGATCGATAGTGAGATCGATCGAGTGAGATCGATAGCAAGGTCTATAGTGAGATAGATCGTGGGATCGATAGTGAGATCGATAGTAAAGTCGATTGTGAGATGGATGATGAGATCGATAGTGAGATCGATAGCGAGATCGATAGTGGGATCGATTGTGGTATCGATAGTGAGATCGATCGATAGTGGGATCGATATTGGGATCGATAGTGAGATCGATCGTGAGACCGATAGTGAAATCGCTTGTGAGATCGGTATTGAGATCGATAGTGAGATCGATCGAGTGAGATCGGTAGTGAGATCGATAGTGGGATCGAGAATGGGATCGATCGAGTGAGATCGATAGTGAGACCGATCGGGTGAGATCGATTGTGAAATCGATAGTGGGATCGATAGTGAGATCGATTGAGTGAGACGTTGGTTCCTCCTCCCCCCTCACCTCCTTATCACCCGAAGGGTGGTCGTATAGGTAAACATAAACTTTTGGCGCTCCGCGCGGATTTCTCAGATCCGCGCCTGGGACTCCCCGGCGGCGGCGCCTCCGGCGCCGCCCCTGGCGCGCTCCGCGCGCCAGGGAGGGGGGTCCAGCGCGGATTCGAGAAACCTGAGCGGACCTCCGAGCTTTTATGTTTGTGCCACTTATCGGCTCCCCAATCTCGCGTACGACCCGTTTTTGATCGTCTCTCATTTGGAAGGCTTTCCGCTTCCACGGCCACTGCATGGTGCACCCGGCCTGTCCAGGTCGCGCCCCCGAGGAGGCCTCCTCGGGGGCGGTCTCTGCAGGCCGCTCGGCTCTCTCCGGGCTGCTCCTCCAGGCCTCCGGAGCCCCAGTCTCTTGGAGCCCGCTTCTTGGTGAGCATCGGCTCCGGGCCAGCCCGGGGTGCGATGCCGGTCAGGATCTCAATCTGGCGGCGCGCCGAGGGGAGGAGTCGGAGGGGGCGAGCGGCGGGGGGGTTCTCAGAAGCTCTCGGGCGCTCTGACACGTCCCCTGCGTCGTTGGGGCAGGGTTACGGTAGCTTCGTGTCGTGCTGATCGGCGGCGACCCCGCCAGCGGCGTTCAGCGTTGAACGCCGCGGGCGACCCAGAACCGTTCGATGTGGAACGATTTGGACGTTTCGGAAACGGCCGATCGTTCACAGTTGAGCGGTCCCCGCGGCGCCCGAAACCAGCGCCGAAGTCGGCACAACACGAACCTGACGCAGGCCTTGAGCCTTCTGAGAAGGCCCGCCCCCTCTGCCGTTCTTTTTGATGCGCGCCGCCGATCCAACATTCACTGTTCACAGTGGGCCTGCGGAGAGTGCCAAGACCTCCGACGTGTTTTGTTAGGCGTTGGGTTCTTTCTGCGCTCTCGTCCCCATCCTTCGGACGGACAGGCCTCGGACAAAAATTGCCAACATTCATGCCACGTTCATCTGTCACTGCCTCCCCCTCCCCCCAATGTGCAAAGTTGGCGGTGGGTCTGATGAGTTGCACCTCGACCGCAGTCTCCCCCGCGCGTGCCAACTCCGAGTTTGGGGGGGAGGGAAGTGTTCAGGAATTGTTTCTCTCTACCGGATTTCGCGCCGTTTGCTGCCGAGGTGGCATATGCCCGAAACGGGCCCCTGGACATCCAGATTTTTAATAATAACAGCCGCCTCGACGTTTCCAGGACCTTCGACGCCTAGATCGGTAGTTGGAGGTTGTCTGCCCCCGTGAGGAGGACCACGAGGCGAGCATGTCGCTGGTGAGGGAGTACAGGTCCGTGGTGGCCATGCCCCTCCAAGGGGCAGAGGGTAATCAAACATTGATTCTGGCGAAGGGCTCAACCCTATGCAGCTGCGTTTCGCGCGCGGGGTGGCCCTCTCGCGAGGGTCAAACGGGCGCGCCATTCTACGGATGGAGCACGATCCGAGTGGGGTGTGTGTGTGCCGAAATGAGCGCGCCGCAGCCATGCGAACTGGTCCTCTAGGGCCGTAGGTGGAGCTCCGGGTGGGGCACGATTCGTGCGAGGGGTGCGCGAAACTTGCCTGGCGCCACCATGTGAACTGGCCCATTCGAACGCTTCCATTGAGGCCGCAGGTGGAGCCCCCTGTGGGATACGAAACGTGTGAGATGTGTCTATGTGTGCGTGTGTAAAGGAACAACAAGTGTAAAACAAAATGTGTCTCTGTGTGTGGGTGGCTGTGTGTGGGTGTGTGTATGGGTGCGTGTGTGTATATGTTTGTGTATGTGTGTGTGAGTGTGAGTGTTGTGTGTGTCTGTGTCTGTGTGTCTGTGTGTCTGTGTGTCTGCGTGTGCGCGCCAAAATGGGTGGGGGACGGCGTGGTGCGAGCGCGCCCACTGAGACCATAGGTGGAGCTCCCTGTGGGTGCGCCACAGCTTGCAAACGCAACCGCTGGGACCGTCGGTGGGGGCCGCTGGAGCACGACACGTGTGAGGTGTGTGTGTGTGTGCCGAAATGGGCGGTGCACCGCGTGCAAACGCACCCACTGCGGCCGTAGGTCGAGCACGAAACGTGAGAGTTGTGCCGAAATGTACGGGGAGCTGTGTGCAAGCGCACCCCCCTGTTGGGCACGAGACGTGCGAGGGGTGTACGGGCATTAGGGGGGTGAGCGACATGCGAACGCACCCCCTGGGGCCGCAGGTGGAGCTCCCCGTGGGGCTCGAAGCGTGCGCGGGGTAGGCCCACATGCGCGAGGAGAGTGCAGCCGCAGGGAGAGAGGCGGAGGGGGGGGAGGCAGAGGCGCGCAGTGTGGTACCGGCGCAAAACGAGGATCCAGTTTCACAAGGGCGCTGGGGGAAACATTGCCCTGCATCGATTGGTGTTCGGCCATATTGGCCGTGCCTGCTCCCTCTGTAATTGGTTCGTTTCTGGATGGTTCCCCATACCCTTGCTGCGTTTGGGTCGTCGGCTGGATTAGAGCACTTGCTGTTCCTCTCCTCTCAGCCTTCCCCTCGTTCCTCCCTTTTCCTTTCAGTATGGTCAGACCTATCCCATCCCCAGAGGGCCAGGGCTCCTTCGTTCCACCAGCCTAGATACCCCCGCGAGGTGGGGATGGGCGCCCCGAAGCCAAACGGAGACGGCATCTATCCCCTACCAAGGGGGATCGGTCAGACAGCAGGGCCGAGGCTTTCGCAGTAGGGATGGGGATAGGTCTAATGATTGGTCTAATGGGCCTGATTCTCCCTCCTCCCACTCAGCGTCTCCCGCTTCCCTTGCCTTTTTTCTTCTCTACCGTTTCCTCTCCTCCATCGTCCCCTTGGGTGGTCGTCGATTTCCAGCGCCGTGTGGGGTGTCGAGCACTACCCTGCACCCCTCGTCAAGCAGTGGCGAAGCGTCCTGGCTCGCCCATAGCCCTACCGAACAATGTTATAAGAATCTTTTCTGTGGTTTGCACGAAATGTTCTTAGAACATTTCTGGCGGAGTCTGTCTTGTTTTTTTTGTGATTTTTTTTTTTTTTTTAAAAAAAAACAAACAAAAACAAACGGGCTCATGTTCTAAGAACCTTGTCTTTCGTAGTAGGACTATTTCGTGGTAGGACTATAGGAATGCCGGGACGGTCGGTCCCTGCTCAACCTCGGGGGGGCCCGGCGGAGTGGTGAGCCACGCAGCCCCCAGGCGAGACTTGGTCGCTCACGGGCGCTGCAGGGCGTGCAGCTGGGGAGCGTTCAGCCCTGCGCGAGCCCACGCGGGCCCAGCAAGGAGAGGAGGAGGAGGAGAGGAGGAGGAGGAGGAGGAGGAGGAGGAGGAGGAGGAGGAGGAGAGAGAGGAGGAGGAGGAGGAGGAGGAGGAGAGGAGGAGGAGGAGGAGGAGAGGAGGGGAGGGGGGGGGGCGAGGAGGAGGAGGAGGAGGAGGAGGAGGAGGAGGAGGCCTGGTCCATGCGGTGGCCGACGAGTGACCCTGGACCAGAACGCTGTTGCCCGGAGGTCCCCCCTGTGCGACGGGGGTGGGGATCCGCTCGGGTGCCCCCGAGCTCTTGTGCAGGAGAAGGGAACACGAGGACGAGCCCGCCGGCCGACTCCCGAGCCGCTGCAGCCGCTTCCGACGAGGCCGTGCTCGAGGCGTACCTGGAGCTCGCGCTGGCCCCGACCCTCTGCAGTCCGATCAGCGGACGCATGTGCCGCTTGTCGCTGCGGCTGGGCGGCCCGGGCCTCCAGAGCCAGACAACGCTTGCCCTGGCCGCTCCAGCGGCTTCCTGGGACCAGAGCCCCGGCCGAGGCCCAAGCGCGCATAGCCTCGGCGGAGCTGGCCGACCTGGAGACCTCTGCGCTGCCGCTGCCGCTGGCGGGCGCCTGCCAGACGGCGCTGGCCGAGCAGCTGCCCGACTAGGAGGGGAGACTCCGACTGCTGCCGCCCTGGGCACTGGCTGGCGCAGGAACTCGACAGAAGCTTCAGCGTGCGCCCACACAAAGGAGCGACCGAAACCAAGAAAGCCTTGCTGGACACCCCTCGTCGGAGTGGAGGAACGAGCGCGGAGGGCCCCCCGCCGGCCGGTTGGCAGCTGGCCAACGGGGGGCCGCGCCAGAAGCTGGAGGACGCCAACCACTGCTCCACCGCGCGGACGCTCCTGTGCCAGGACGCGGCGCCGGCCGGGGGCCGCTGCAGCAACCGCCGCACGAGAGCCGTCGATGGCAGAACGTGCGGGCCCCAGGCGCCAAGACCGAGGCCCCTCAGGGCCGTCGCAGGGGCACTGTGCCATGGCGCCGCGAGACACAGAATCGTGCACAGAACCGTGAAACGTGCGTCCGTCCGATCCGAAACCTCCCGGGGCAGTGCCGCTGCTGCTGCCGCCCTCCGAGGGGCGGAGGAGGAGGAGGAGGAGGAGGAGGAGGAGGAGGAGGAGGAGGAGGCGGTGGGGGAAGCGGGTGGTACGCTGGCTGGGGCTGGGGCCTGGCTGGGAACAGGGGGCTGGGGCTCAGGGTCGGACCACTTTCCGCCCCTCTCAGGCTGGGGAGTGGAGAGGACACGCACCGCGTCGAGCAGAGCACACCCCATCCATTGCAGCCCGAGGTGATCCTGCGACGCTAACTCCCTGCACATCACCGACTACGCAACTACTCAACACCTAGTGTTCCCAGCCCAGAGGCAAGCTCCCGGCACCCCTGGATCAGGAGACGGTCCTTCCCGGCCGGGCGGAGCGGCTCGCCACCGGCCTTGCTGCAAAGGGGACCTCCCCAGACCCCCCTGCGAGTGCTACACAGGGAGCCCCGCCGGAAGGTCGGGAAACGCATGTCGTCGGACGCCTGGGGCCTGGGAAGACGAAGCGAACGCTCGGAGCGTGCGGACGCGAACTGAGGCCATACGCTTACACGGGTCCTGGACAGGCCCCTCCTGGGCCTCGGATCGGTGCTCGGATTCCCGAGGCGTTGCAGTTTGCAGGCCGTGCCCTCCCGCGCGTCCGCTTCGGACGTGCGGCCAGGGATTGCTGCTTCTGTCGGCACGCGCGCCGCGCAGGATCCTTCCATGCTCCCGAGCGTGCTCCGCCGTCCGCGGCGCCCTCTCGCCCCCCCCCCGGCGGGCGCGCTGCCCATCCCACGGTTGTGCCCAAGTCGGCCCCGTAGCCTCAGATCGGGCATGTCCCTCCACAGGAGGAATACTCGAAGATAGGCACACATCTTCTGGGGACGAGGTCTTCTATATTCATACAGTTATGTACATACATATTTACTTACTTACTTGCATACATGCATGCGCACATGCATGTATGCATACATGCACACATGCATACCTACATGCATACGTACATGTATACAAGCATGTATGCATGCATGCATGCATACATACATACCTACATGTATACACACAGACGTGCATACATACATACATGCATACATACATACATACGTACATACATACGTACATACATGCATACAACCAGACATACACACATACGTACGCACATACATGCATATATACAAACATACATGCATGCATACATACATGCATACATGCATACATGCATACATGCATACATACATGCATGCATGCATGTGTGCATGCATGCATACATACATATATACATATAGACATACATACATACATACACACACACATACATACATACATACATACACACATGCATACCTACATACATACATACATACATACATGCATATATACATACATACATACATACATACATACATACATACATACATACATACATACATATACACACGTACATACATACATACATGCATGCATACATACATGCATACATACATACATACATACATACATACATACATGCATGCATGCATACATACATACATACATACATACATACATACACATATACATATATACATACATACATACATGCATGCATGCATGCATGCATGCATGCATGCATACATACATGCATGCATGCATACATACATACATACATACACCTATACATATATACATACATACATACATACATACATACATACATACATACATACATACATACATACATACATATATACATGCATGCATACATACATACATACATGCATACATGCATACATACATACATGCATACATGCATACATGCAAACATGCATACATGCATACATGCAAGCATGCATACATGCATACATGCATACATACATGCATACATACATACCTACATTTCTACCTACCTACCTATCTACCTACCTGCCTACATACATACATACCTACATACATACATACATGCACACATACATACATGTAGATAATCGATTATGCGTGATTCGTGCTTGGCTATGTGTGATGTGTCTTCCAAAAAACCCGCCTGCAGGAGGGCATGCCCGACCGAACCCGGCTCCGTCCGCGGCGCGGTTCCGCGCCGCCGTGCCCCAAGAACTTCCGGGAACGGAGACCCCCTCCTCCTCCTCCTCCTCCTCCTCCTCCTCCTCCTCCTCCTTCCTCCTCCTCCTCCTCCTCCCCTCCTCCTCCTTCCTCCCTCCTCCTCCTCCTCCTCCTCCTCCTCCTCCTCCTCCTCCTCCTCCTCCTCAGGAAAACGTGGCCTCGCTGAAGCCCCCGTCCTCGCACTGGGGGTCAAGGAGTCCGGGCGGTTGCGGTTCGGCACCTCTGCAGAGAAGACCCCCTTGTCCTTGATGCTGTGGCCCTCCTGACTTGGGTCCCCTCCCCAAGGGTTAGGGATCCTTTTTGGATTCATCAAGACGGTCCCCGGCCTCGGCCCAACAGTGGGCCGAGGCCGACGTCGCGCCGGCCGCGCCCGAGTGACATGTCGCAGGCAGCCGACGGCGGCGCCGCGCAGTCCTCGTACAGGGAGACTCCTGGGCCGAGGACCGCCCGTCGGGAGAGCATCAGAATGGCAAAATCCTCGCCGTCTCGGGCCAGCTTCGCGGGGCACTCGGCGAGGAGAACCGCGCCAACCAGGGCGGCTATTGTGCGCCCTTCTCTGTCGATCACCACCACAGCCCACCCCGCAGTCCTTAAACCTGGCAGGACCCCCCTCGAACCCCGAACCGTCCGTGAAACAGACCCCCCCAGGAATGAAGAGCGGCCCATTTTGAGGCCATTGGACGTGCCGTGTGCAAGGTTCGAACGGATCCCTACGCCGCAGCTTGACCCAGGACGTGGGGTTCGGCCGAAGGAGCTTGCTGAACCATTCTCCAGCGGACTCAGAGAAATGCGGCACAACAGGATCCAGATTCTCGCGGCACCACGGCGAGAAGGCACAGCAAGTGAGCTTGCGGTGGAAAAGGATGTCTTACAGGCACAGCAGAGTTGGCACACATCAGGAGCCTCGGGCCTATGCTGGCACACACGATGCTGACATCAATGCACGTTGGTAACCCGAGCAGGGAACGTGACGTTATGTGTTTTGTTTGCCCAGACCTCCGAATGTTTCAGACCGAGAAGTTGGTAGAGCGTGGCCCAAAAGATGCCCGCCCCACTGACGAACATCAATTTGTATGCACTGCTCCTCGAGCTCCACTTCGCAACGGACGATCCCTTGCGCGAGGGAGGGGAGGCGATACAATACAGACCAGTTCCTGCCGAGGTCACCCTTGAGGGCCATCGGCCCAACATAGAAAGTCCAGTGGATCATCAGAAAGAGGGCCGCAAGCGATTGCCTCACCTGGCCCAAGGGGGCAGGAGAAGAAGGAAAAGGAAACAGGACGAGGGGGATTTGCAATCCACCGCGTGGCCTCCGCGACGGGACGACAACACAGAAGCGAGGCTCCCACTGTGCCGCGAATGAAATTCTTACAGAGTGCGCCAGCCCAGGATATGATTGAAGAACTTGCTACCAAACCGCCAACAACGGAGAACGGAAATAAAGTACAACCCCACGAGGTGCAGAACGACTTGATGTTCGCGGCAGCCACATACAATGAGAAACAACACCACCAGTAAGTCCCGAACGGAGAAAATACAATGCCAAAGACGCACTGCAACACATGGCAGAAGCCCAATACCCAGAACTCCGAGGCTGACGAAAAGCCAGAAATTGACATAATATCCACAAGCACACGCACACCAGAGTGAATGACAAGTGAACACTACCACTCGGAGCCGAGAGCGAAGAGGCACCACGGGAACACAAGCATCATCGACTCAGAATGCGGAGCCCCTGAGGTCGTGGTCGTTGAGCGGGTCCTCGTCGGCGTCGTCAGCAGGATCGAAGAAAAACCTCGACGGCGCGAAACTATCCACTCCGCCTGACGACGCCAACGAGGCTGCATCAATATTGAAAAGGCGGCCCTCCCCAGGGTCCAGCGGCAGGCCCGCAGGAGACCATTCGCAGACCACGGGAGGCGGCGGCACAGGTGGCTCGGCTCCTCCTCAGAGCCGTCCGTACTGGGGGGGTGGGACCCCAGCACAGGAAATTGCGCAGCCTCCGCGTCCGAGAGCTCGTGGATCTCGGAGTCGTCCTGCACGACGTGGACGGAGAGCCCCAGGGGCAGCGCCTCCCAAGTGCCAGGGACGAACTCCGCCGCATCCGCAGAGAGGCTGGTGGGGGCGCGGCCGACTCCCGCGCGCCGTGCCTCGAGGACGAGGCCCACGCTGTGCTCGGCGAAGCTCGCGAGCGCCTGCTATCGCCACGTCGATCTCGAGGGCCTCGGCGTGGAGCGCAACATTGCGCCGCAGCTTCTCCAGCCAGGTGGGCTCCACCCCGTGGAGCGTGGTCACGAAGGCAGGCAGAAGTGCGCGGAGACGCTGCGCCACCTCCGCATCCCCCACGATGTAGTCCAGGGCCGCTTCCGCCGCTGCCAACTGCCCGCGGACGGCCTGCAGCTCCTCCACGCGCTTGGCCACGGCACGGTCAGCGGACCAACGCGCCCATGCCCGAGAAGCCCGGCGGGCCTCGGCAGAGCCCACTGGGCGGAGAAAGGCTCCGCCCTCCCGCGCCATTCCCAAGTCCGGAACACCTCCAGCAGCAGCATACCGGTCGCACATGACGAGCCAGCTTGAGCCCCGGGGGCGCGTCCGACGGCTTGAGCCAAAATGGCTACGGAAACAGGACGAGGGGGAGAAGGATGATGATGATGATGATGATGATGATGATGATGATGATGATGATGATGATGATGATGATGATGATGATGATGATGATGATGATGATGCTGATGTGATGCTGATGCTGATGATGATGATGATGATGAATGATGATGATGATGATGATGATGATGATGATGATGATGATGATGATGATGATGATGATGATGATGATGATGATGATCTGCTGCTGCTGCTGATGATGAGGAGGAGGAGGAGGAGAAGGAGGAGGAGGAGGAGGAGAAGGAGGAGGAGGAGTAGGAGGAGGAGGAGGAGGAAGAGTAGGAAGAGGAGGAGGAGGACGACGAGGAGGAGGAGCAGGAGCAGCAGCAGGAAGAGGAGGAGGAGGAGTAGGAGGAGGAGGAGGCCTCGGGCCTCTGACGAGGGGGCTCGTGTGCTTGACCTGCATGCGTGTGGCGGCTGTAAGTTTGGACCCACCGCCCCTCAGACGGGGTGCCCTTCCCCCCTCCCTGGGGAGCAGGTTCCCCGAGCTGCACATCTCGCAGTTCTACCCGCGGCCTGGCACGGCGGCAGCGCGGATGAAGGGTTTGCCAGGCGGCTCTTCTTCTCCCCCTCCTCCTCTTCCTCCGTATCCTCCTCCTCCTTCCCACATCTCCGCTTCCTCCTGTTCCCTCCCTCCGTCCTCCAACACCGGCTCCTCCTCCACTTGCTGCTCCTCCCCTTCCCTCCTCCTCCGCCTCCTCCTCCTCCGCCTCCGCCTCCTCCGCCTCCTCCTCTTCCTCCTCCCTGCCCCCACTCCTGCTCTTCCTTCCTGCCCCTCCAACTCCAGAGGGGAGGGTCGAGGGGCGGATGATGGCTGTCGATGGTCTGCAGGCGTCGGAAGCTCTAGCTCCAGGGGCATTATACCTCCTCCCTCCTCGCACTGTCGCCTCCTCCTCCTCCTCCTAGGGCCTCGAGAACCCAGTGCAACCCCACAGCACCAGGGCAACCCTCGAACCCACTCCCCATCCCCTTCTTCTGCTTCCTTCTCCTCACCATCTCTCTTACGCCCACGCTCGGTCCATCCTTCTTATCCCATCGTTCGCAGAATCGTCCTCATCAAGATCATCGTCATCACCATCAACAACAGCATCATCAACATTGGTATCATCATAAGCATAACCATAAGCAGCATCACCATCAGCAGTAGCAGCATCACACTCACCATCATCAACAGCGCGTCACCATTGGCATCATCAGCATCGCCATCATCATCATCATCATCATCATCATCAGCAGCAGCAGCAGCATCATCATCGTCACCTGCATCACCATCATCAGCAGCATCATCAGCATCATCACCATCTACACTTATCATCTACACCTATCATCATCATCAGCATCATCATCAGCATCATCCCTCCCCGTCGTCGTCATCACTATCTCTCATCATCATTCTTCTCCGCGTCGCCCATCGCTACTCCTAACCATAGCTCCCGCAGTTGCGAATAAGAGTGTGTAGGCGGGTGGGATCGCTGGCAGTCTGCGGGATCCAAATGCACATGTGAAGAAGGCCGCCTCATGCGCCAATTGTGCAACATATTCCGCAACTTGCCCGCCGCAGGCGAGAATCTATTGTCAAGAATATGGGTGTTTCGCGGTTGGGTCGCGGGTGGGTCGCGATGGGGTCGCTGCTAGGTCGCGGGCGGGACGCGGGCGGGTCGCATTTGGATCGCGAATGTGTCGCAGGCCGGTCGCGGGTCGGTCGCGGGCGGGTCGTGGGTGGGTTGTGTCCGGGTCGCGGGCGAGAATGACGACAGCAACATCAATAATCACGCAAGTGTCCGTTGTTCGATGCTCGCGTGTCATTGAATATCTATGCCCCAAACCTTCGATACCCGCCCTCTTCGTCTTCCTGTCGCACTCGCTTTGGGTGTAGATCTCCCCAAATCACCACGAGTGGATGGCGCGGCCCCGAGGCCGAGGAGCAGCGAAATGGAAAGGGAAGACCGGGAGGAAAGGAGGAGAAACGAGAACGAAGGGGGGCAAGAGGAAGGGATGAGGATTGAGAGCGAAGAAGATGTAGCAAGAGGAGGAGGAGAGAGCAGCGGACCCTGACGGGTGGGTTGGGCGAGCAGATCCTAAGCGGCGTGTCGAGCGGGCGGACCCTGACGTGCGGGCCGGGCGGGCGGGACATTCAAACGGGCGGGCAGGCGGAAAGGGTGGAACCTAACGGGCGGGTCGGGCGGACGGACCCTAACGGTCGAGTCGGGCGGGCGGACGCTAACGGACGTGTCGGACGGGCGTACCTTAATGAGCAGGTCGGGCGGGACATTGGATCGGGCGGGGAGGCTTCAAAGCAGGCGAACGGGCAGAATTTAACGGGCGGGTCGGGCGGGCGGACTCTGGCGGCCAGGTCGGGCAGGCGGGCCTTAACGAGCGGCTCGGGCGGGCGGGGCATTTAGATGGAATTCGCAAAAGGTTTTTTCTTACACAAAGTAATGTTGGCGAACTCACGAGTCCTGCGTAATTCATGGGGACATGTCGTACGAGAGCACGATTCCTGGGCGTCGAAATGTACGGGGGTCTCGAACGAGAGCGGGATGTTAAGTATTCTGTAAGGAGGTATCAGGCGGGAGCCGTTGTTCTGGGGCCAGTGGCGCAGTTTGAGGATGATGAATTTCCTGGCAAAAAGCCGGGTGCGTGCCCTGGGGGGGAACTTAAATTCAAAAAACAGTGCTCGCCGGACAGGGGGGCTCAACAATAGTCCTGGTTCGCGCGCGAAAGTTCAACGCGATTCCGCACCGCGGGATACCAGTTCAGCCACGCAGCCACGGACAGTGCAGGACCGTTCTGTCCCTTTTCACTCTGGTAATTAACTCCTCCTGTCGCACCAACAGTCGTGTAGTTAGGGCGTCATCGCTGAGCAGCCCAGGGCTGGGGAGGCCCATGTTTTACCCCCTTTCACTCCCCCTCTCCTTCTCCCCTCTCCTTCTCCTCCTTGCGTTTTGCCACGGGGCTCTCTTGCGCTTGTGCAGACAGTGCCGTTCGGTCGATCACCGCTCACGGTTCTGACGCTTGAAATTTTCCACCACTGCACAGGTGGAGGGCGGACCGCCTTGTTGATTGTGGTGCTCCCGCCATGGCGCCGCACACACTCGCCTCAAACAGTTCGACCAGCTACTCCTGGCGGAGGGCCGGCAGCGTTTGAACAGGGCGCTCGCTTTGGCGCCGCGCACGCTCGTCGTGATCAGTCCAGACACTGCACGGGTGGCAGGCGGGCCGTTCTCGGAGCAGGGCTCTCGGCTGGGCACCGCGCGCGCTCGTCTTGCAGAGAACAGTCGGCCACACATGTGGACCGGGTTTCCTGTTCACACTGGTAATGGGGGCCACATGCGAGCCCTACCCCTGCCCTCCACGATTTCTGAGGGGGAGGGTTGGGTTCACTTCACTCAATGACAATCGCAATACATGTGGCTCGCCCCCCCTCACCCCCAAACCCAAAGTTGAAGTGTCCATATTTTGTCCCCCGCGCGTTGCCTCGCACCCAACCCCGTCAACTTTGGGTTGGGGGGGACAGGGGCTATGGATATGTGTTCGACGCAGTTCGATGTCGCATCATCTTGGCGCGACGGGTGTGGACACTTGCTTGTCCACCCACCGAAGTGGTTCCTCCTCGAAGTGGTGCAATTGTGTCTTTGACTGTCATGGCTCCTCTCCTCGTCGCAAGCCTAGCAGCTCGAACAGTGGTGGGCAGCTCGCTTTCGGGACGGAGCTCCCGCTCGAATCGCAGGCCCACGGGGCCGTTGCCTTTCCAGGGGGGCGCGTCGCACAGTGAAGAAGAACGGCTGCAGCGACGCATGCGCTTGGGGCTCAGGGCGAGAGGGTGAACTGCAGCACAGATGATACACCTCGGATGTACACTGGTCCACCTCTTCCTCTTCCTTGTCCCTCGTCTCGCCCTCCAGCCTTCCTATCTCCCATCCTGGTCCTCATATCGGTGCCCGTCCTCGTCACCCTCATCTCCCATCCACCTCGCCCCACGTGGAGAGGAGGAGGAGGAGGAGGAGGAGGAGGAGGAGGAGGGGAAGGAAGAGGAGGAGATGCATGCGGTAGAAGAAGGAGGAGGAGCCGGCGAAGGAGGAGGAGGAAGAGGAGGAGGAGTAGGAGAGAACTAACGTTGGAGGTGGAGGCTGGGGAGGAGGAGGACAAGGAGGAGGAACTCGGAACTCGGATCTCCTCGAAAGTCCGCTCAGGGCGGCATTGCCTGGGGTGTGCAGGACGCGAAACCGCCTGCAGACCCCCAGGAGGAGGAGACTGGAGGAGGAGTACATGCTGGATGACGGGGGGGGTGGAAGCAGGAGAGATGAGAATCAAGGAGGGAGAGGAGAGAAGCAGCAGCATTCAAGCCTTTCAAGCCGCCTGATGTCCACTCTGGAAAAAAGCTTAGCTCGGGCTGGGGCCTTTAAAATCTTGTTTAAGCCCCCTGTCGTCAATCCGTCTTCCAGGCAACCCTGCTGCTACACTGAGTGCACACGCTCAAACTCGCATCTGCCGAGAGGAAAGGAGGAAGAGGAGGAGGAGGAGGAGGAGGAGGAGGAGGAGGAGGAGGAGGAGGAGGAGGAGGGGAGTTGGTAGTGGGAGGTGGGGGAGGAGCAGGATCAGGAGGCGAGGGGTAGCCCGGTGGGGAGCAGGGGAGTTGTCTATGGAGTTCCGAGGGGGGCGGGGCTAGAGTTAAAGGACTGCAGGGGCGTCTCCTCCCTCTGATCTTGCGTGTTTTCCGAGGTGTTGCTCGATGAATGGGGTCGAGCAAAGTCAACTCGGGGCTCCCCCCCTCCTGGTGGGGGCCGTCGTTCATCCGCTTGTGAAGCGCACGATTGGTCGCACATAGTTTAATCCCGCGTTTTCCTATGTGGTCTCCAGGCACTTGAGACATTCGGCCCGATATAATTCCGCCGCCGCCGCCTCCTCCTCCTCCTCCTCCGGAGCGTATTTAGATCTTGTGGGTACCTCGTTGTCTTTGCAGGACCCGAGCAGTAGTGAAATCGCACGCCGTGTTGCAGCAGGACGGTCAAAGTTCTGGGCTTTGGAGAGGCTGTTGCTTAAGAAGCATTTCTCATTGATCAAGCGTTTGAGACTGTTCAACAGCACTGTGGCGGGAGTAGCATTGTGGGAGGCGGAGTCATGGACGCCAAGAGCCGAGGAATTGAGGAGAATGGGAGCCACACAAAATTCCATGTTGAGGAGACTTGTAGGTTGCGAAATAGGAGAACGAGAATATTGGGTGGCTTGGATAATCCCGTCAAGTCAGACGGCTCGTTCGCGACGCTGGGGTAAAGGATTGGGTGCATGAGTATTTCATGGAACAGTGGAGATGGGCAGGGCACGTTGCTCGCATGCCGATTTCAGAGTGGGCCAGTCATGCAACATGCTGGCTGGATTTCTCGGGGCAGACAGTCAACCACAGATGGCAAAGGCCAGAGGAGCCACCCAGGCGACAATGGATGAAGTCTGAGCATGCGCCTAGGAGGTTCTGCACACATGGAGGCCACGACGAATGGACGCAAACAGCAACAAACCGTGAGGCATGGCGCGGATGAGCTCCTGTGTTCGCTTCTTGGGCGAGCGCGCTGTGATGCAGAGAGCTAGTGTTCTGGACGGATATTAGCAGTTGGCTTGCCCCACGCGGGCTTTTGCAGGCAGGATGTCACCGTTCACCATTGTTCATCCCGTCCTCTCCTTCCTTGCGCCGTTCCTCCTCCTGTTCCCTCCTCCTCTTGATAGTCCTCCTCCTACTCCTCCGCCCTCACCCCCATCCTTTTAGTCCTCCTCGTCCTGGCTGGGAACCCCAGAGAGTCCTATAGAACCACCTCTTCATCCTCATCGTTAGTCTGCCTGTTGTTATCATCCGTCTCCCCCCTCGCGTTCCTTCCCCCGCCCAGTTGTATTTCACCTTCCTCGTCAGACCCCTCCTCTCTTTTTTCCTCCTGTCGAATGGCCTTCTGCCCATCCCGCCACCGTGCTTGGGAAGTGGTCACGCAGCCCCTCGGATGTTCGTTGAGATCTCGTGGGAGGCTTGTCGGGGACCTCTTGGAGGCAGCTTGGATACCTTTTGAGTTTTTTGTTTGCGAGGGGCCTCTTGGGTGCCTCGCGGGTGCTTTGGGGGGACCTCTTGGGTGCCTCGTGGGCTGTGTTGGGCGTCTGTTTGGGCCTCCTGGGCGCCTCTTGGGGCGCAAGGCTCGGATGCTCGCTTCGTGTGTTCTTTTTCGGGCCCTTGTTGGCGCCGTCCTGGGGTCCGCTTGGGCCGTTCTCGGCGCCTCGTGGGCCGTGTAAGGGGCCCGTTTGGCTCCGCTGGGCGCCAGAAGGTCACGCGCGACAGACCGCGCCAGAGCCCAAAAGGAAACCGCGCCGCGCCCCGGAAGACTTGGGCCGACGGGCTCCGAGCCCCGCAAAGACCCTTCGGGAGCGAGGGCTGAGGCTCAGAGGGGGGGGGGAGGAGGAGGAGGAGGAGGAGGAGGAGGAGGAGGAGGAGGAGGAGGAGGAGGAGGAGGAGGAGGAGGAGGAGGAGGAGGAGGAGGAGGAGGAGGAGGAGGAGGAGGAGGAGGAGGAGGAGGGAGGGCCTGGAGACACGCCCACTCCGAGCCTCGAGGCACGGTGGCGGGCGTCCTGTGTACAGCCACCCTCCTTGCCTCCACGTCGCCCGCAGTACCCGAAACTTGTTTCAACAAAAACTCCCCAAAGCGTCAGGCGATAGGTTCCCCTATCACCCTCCGTACCAGGCAGCGTCAAGAAGCGGCGCAGCACGGAGATGCACAGACTCTTCGAGTCCTACCAGACCTACGGCGACCTGCCAGGTCGGGAGGAGCGCTGTTTGCCCACGGTGACCCCACATGATTATGTTTGTTGCCGTTGATGTTCCCACCCCTCCTCCTCCCCTTCTCCTTGTCACCCGTGCCCGTCCCCTCCGCATTATTCTGAGTACCTTCGTTATTTCTACGACTCTTACTGCAAGTATCCCCCCTCTTCCCCATTCATGTCCTCCTCCCCCCCGTCACCCCCCCCATCCTCCTCGGCCTCCTCCCCCTGCTCCGTCTCCCGTTCTTCACCACCGCCATTTCTCCACTTTGTCCCTTTTCCGCATCAGCAGCATCATCATCATCATCATCATCATCATCATCATCATCATCATCATCATCATCCTCATCAGCAGCAGCAGCAGCAGCAGCATCAGTATCAGCATCCGTATCATCATCAGCAGCCTCAGCATCAGCATCAGCATCACCAGCAGCATCATCATTATCATAACCACCATCATCATCGTCGTCCTCGTCGCCGTCATCATCAGCATAATCATATCGTCGTCATCATCAGCATCATCAGCATCATCAGCATCATCATCATCAACATCAGCATCAGTATCATCAGCATTAGCATCAGCATCAACATCCACATCATCAGCATCGCATCACCATCGTCACCAGCGTCACCATCGTATTACCATCATCATACCATCATCATCAACACCATCATCACTCGTATAGTCATCATCATCACCATTATCATGATCAGCACCATCATCATCATCATCATCATCATCAGCATCATCATCATCATCATCATCACCATCACCATCACCATCACCATCACCATCACCATCACCAGCATCATCAACAATATCCAAATCCCCCGGCTCTTCCTGGAAGGCTGATCCATGGCACGATGGGTTTTCGGGTGGACCTTCGGTTTTTCCGTCATCAAGAGTGCCCCAGAGTTTGTGAAACGGCGAGTCTTGCGAGGGGGGTCTGAATACACCAGTAGACCCTGACCCCCATCCACCCTGAAGGCGCACCTTCAAAGCCTCTTTGGCGCTTCTTCAACCCCCTCCCCCTCTGCCGAACAGCCCCTGCGTGCTTCCCCAGGGAGGCGGGGAAAGGGAGTTGAGAACGATCGGGTAGGAGAAGGAGGAGGAGGAGGAGAAGGAGGAGAAGGAGGTACCCCTTTCCCCTTCTCCACAATTTCACCATATGAGTAGGACTCTCCCCTCTCCCCCGAGGACGTGTTGAGAGTAGCGTCCTCGCCCGCGCTGCTGTTCCCAATCAACCACCGTGTGGTTTTAGGTCATCGTTTCGAAGAGAGCGCCCCGCGCCACCTCTTCCTCCTCGCTCCTTCCTCCTTCGCCTCCCCCCTCCTCCAACCCCTGCCTCTGAGCCCCAGCACTCACATGCAGATGCTTGCGCACACACACACACCACATGTGCTCTACCGAAGGCCCCACTGGCTGCGCTCGCATGGCGGCGCCGCACCCACGTCGGCACACCACATCATACGCTTCGTGGCACGCGCTACAGGGAGCTCCGAAGAGAGCCACAGCGGCTGCTTGTGCATGCCTGCATGCCCGCACGGCACCCACTCCAGCAGTCCTCTAACACGCTTCGTGGCCCCATGGGGGGCTCCACCGAGGACCCCAGTGGCTGCGTTCGCATGGCGGCACCACACCCACATCGGTACACCCCTCACACGCTTCGAGGCCCCATAGGGAGCTCCACCGAAAGCCCTTGTGGCTGCATCCGCATGGCGGCACCGCACCTGTTTCGGCACACCCCTCACACGTTTCGTTGACGCATAGGGGGAGCTCCGCCGAAGGCCCCAGTGGCTGCGTTCTCGTGGCGGCACCGCACCCGTTATGGCGCACCCTCACACTTTCCGTGGTCACATAAGGAGCGCCACCAACGGTTTAGCGGCTCCGTTCGCATGGCGGCACCGCACCCATGCCGCCACACCCGTCACACGCTCCGTGGCCTCATAGGGAGCTCCGCCGAAGGCCTCAGTGGCTGCATCCGCATGGCGGCACCGCACCCGTGCCGGTACAACTCTCAAACGTTTCGTGGCTCCATAGGGCTCCACCGAAGGCCCCAGTTGTTGCGTTCACATGGCGGCACACCACCCATGTTGGTACACCCCCATCACACATTTCGTGACCCCACAGGGAGCTCCGCCGAAGGCCCCAGTGGCTGCGTTCGCATGGTGGAACCGCATCCGTTACGGCGCAACCCTTACGCTGTCCGTGGCCCCCTAGGGAGCTCCACCGACGGCCCAGCGGTTGCGTTCGCATGGCGTCACCGCGCCCATTTCGGCACACCTTTCACACGTTTCGTGGGCCACTAGGAAGCTCCACCGAAGGTCCTAGTTTCTGCGTTCGCACGGTGTCCCCACACAAATTGCGGCACACTTGTCACACGCTTCATGGCTCCGTAGGGAGCTCCGCCGAAGGCACCAGTGGTTGCATCCGCATGGCGGCACCGCACCCATTGCGGCACAACTCTCACACAGTTCGTGGCCCCCGAACGGACCCCACCGAAGAGGATATTCACTACCGCGCGATTCACATTTGCATATGGTTGGGCCCTTTTGCCAGGAGCATTCCTATTTGCGCAGAGAATGTTCGAAGGTATGTCTTTCTTTTGTGTTTTTCCAGTCCGACCGTTTTCGTTCCTGTCATCATGGCACTCCCATTGCAGCATTGGCTTCCTTTCTGCGTTCCTGGTCTTTCAAAGTTGTGCTCCCGCTGCAGCAGTGGCTTCATTCCCGCGTTTTCGGTGCTTCTCAATAGGGCCGTCGTTGTAGCGCTGGCCTCATTACCCGTTTTCGATCATTCAACGTAGTGCTCCCGCTGCGTCGCTGGCCTCATTTCTGCGCTTTTGTTTCTCTCAAAGGTGCTCCCACTGCATCGCTGGAGTCATGCCCGCTAACGCCATGCCGCCATGCGACGCCGAGCCTTTCTGCACTGTTTGTTGTTCGGCGCCATGCCATGACATACAAAGTAGTGCTACGTCATGCGCCACTATGCGATACCATGACCTTCTATGCAATGTTGGAGTATGCAGTGCGTGGCCACGCAATGCCACACCATGCTATGCCAGGCTGCCTGCTGCCGTGCGCCGTGCGCTCCTACGCCATGCGATGCCGCGCTGTGCTGTGCGGCACTTACCCTTTCGGGATCCATGTCCTCTTCTACACCTGCCTGTGCGAGTCGAGACGGGTCCTACACGCAATGGTACGGTATGGAGGGAGGTGTAGCAAGGCAGATATGACGCGAGCGCATTTGGCTTTCACCCTCATGTTCCTCATCATCACCATCATCATAGTCTTCCTCATCATCAGCATTCTCATCATTATCACCATCATCATCATCACCATCAGCATCATCATCCTCATCGTCATCATCACTACCACCACCAATTCCATCACCATCATCATCGTCACCCGAATCATCATCATAATCAGCATCATCATTAGCATCATCATCCTCATCATCAGCATCATCAGCATCACCACCATCATCAGCATGGGTACCACCATCACCACCATCAACATCATCACCATCATCATGACCACCACCACTATCATCATCACCATCATCAGCCTCATCAGCACTATCATCATCATCATCACCACTATCATCATCATCATCACCATCATCATCATCATCATCATCACCATCATCAGCATCATCAGTATCAGCATCCCCAGCATCAGCATCTTCATCAACATCATCATCGTCATCATCATCACAATCATCATCTTCGTCAGTCTCAGCATCAGCATCCGCATCCGCATCGGCATCAGCATCACTCTGGCCTGCGCCCTCCTGCCGCCTCTCTCCATCCCCGCCCCGCCCTGGCCGAGCGAGGAGCGCGTCTGGTTCTCCGACACGGACGCGCGCTGGGGCCAGACGGTCGGGCACACCAAGACCTACGCCAAGGTCGTGGTCCAGCAGGACTCGACGGCGCCCCCTGGCGGCCACAGCGGAGGCCACGGCGACGACGGCGACGACGGCGGCGGCGGCGGCGACGACGACGACGGCGGCGGCCGCGGCGGCGGCGGCGGCGACGGCGGCGGCCGCGGCAGTGGCGGCGGTGGCGGCGGCCACGGAGGGCAGGGGAGGCAAGCTCCTGGCAGTGCTGGGAAAGGGGCAGAGAAGGCGAGCTTTCTGCGAAACGCTCGCCGAGTGCTCCAGCACGCGAAAAGAGCGGCCGCGGGGCCCCCCGTACATCCTCCAGGCCCGCCGGTCCTCAGATCTGCCCGGCCTCTCGGGAGCCTCGAGACGGGGGTCAACGCAAACAGGGGTCAGTCAGAGCGCGGGACCTTGCCGGATCCTGCAGGGCCAGGGGTGCATTGACCCGGGCTTGGGTGCAAGATCCTGCAGGATCCTGCAGCATCCTGCTAGGCCTGACCGACCCGGGTTTGGGTTGACCCGGGTCAGTAGATGCCCGAATCTCTCTCACCTTGGTGGCGTCTTTCTCCCTGCCTTCGTCCTGCAGTGGGCGCGGTGCGAGGGCGGCGCAAGTCCCCCGGGCCTGCAGGCGTCGCGCCGGCGGGCGGTGTGCGGCCCTGTCGGCTCCGTCCCTCTGGGGCCACCTCTCGGGCCCGACGCGTCGGCTCCGCGCACGAGGGGCCCTGCGCCGGGGCTCGGGGCGGGCCCGCAGGGGGTCCGCCGCGGAGGCCCCCGGAGGCCGCGCACGAGAGGCCCCTCTTGCTTATAAACTCGGCATCGCTCGGACGTGTGCGTTTTCCTCGGCGGGCAGCATCGGGGGGCATCCTGGAAGAGGGGAGCATCCTGGAAGACCTCGCGAAACATGGACGCACGAGGCCGAACGGTGCACGGGGAAGAGACGTCCGAGCGACGGCAAGCGCAGAGGTCGCCCTATAGGGCGTGCAGCCGGCCCGAGGCCCGCCGCAGGCTGCCCGGGTGGCAGGGCCCGGGCGGGCCCGGGGGCCGGGAGAGGGCTCTCCGGGGCGGGGCGGGGCCCTCGAGAGGTGCCTGTGGGGGGGGGCGCAGGAGGTCGGGCTCCCGAGCGCTTCCCTATGGGGCGGTGCGGGAGGGTCCCCTCCTCGGCGTCCCTTCTCCTGGTCTCCCCTGTCGCGCTCCGCCTGTCCTTTCTCCTGGTCTCCCTGGTCTCCCTGGTCCCTTCTCCTGGTCTCGGGTCGCGCTTCGCCTGTCCTCTCCACGGGAGATCGGTTTCGGTTTCGGTTCGTGTCGCGCGTGCGGGCGAGGCGAAGTTGCGCGAGTTCCATTCCTAGTAGAAGCCATCTGTTGCCAAGAGGGCCGCCCCCCGAGCGCCGGGCGTGGCCCCCGATTGTCCTGGCGGTTGTCCCGATGGTTGTGGTAGTCCCGATGGTTGTCTTGATGTTTGTCCTGATGGTTAATGGATACTTGTCCTCTAGATTATCGGACTCCTCGTGCTGTTGCTCTTCATTGCCCGCCTCTGGCTCTGCCTCCGCCTACGCCTCCTCGTCCTTTCCCCAACTACCCATTCCACCTACACTCCATCCTCCGACACCGCCTCCTCCCTCTCTCCATCCCAACTCACCTTCATCTTCACACTCATCCTCCCTTCGCCTCCTTCTTGTACTCCCGACCCCACCTTCTTCCCCTCCACCCTCGATGCCAAGACTCCTGCACCTCCTCACCCTCTTCATCCTGCACGCCACCCTCCTCTCCCTCGTGCTCCTCCTGCACGTCCTCCTCGCCCTCTTACTTTTTAGTGTACTTCGTATTACTCGTGAGAATCGCATCATTATTGTTCGTAGTATTACGAAATGTTATTGTTTTTCGTGTTATTACCGTTCTTATTCATCACAACTCATCAGCATCATCATCAGCATCAGCATCAGCAGCATCAGCATCATCAGCATCGTCATCATCGTCAGCATCATATGTTTCATCATCATGGTCAGCATCAACATCAGCATCATCATCATCGTCACCATCATCATCAGTATCAGCATCATCATCTGCGTCAGCAGCATCATCCTCATCATCATCATCATCATCATCATCATCATCATCATTATCAGCGTCAGCATCATCATCATCATTATCATCAGCATCATCATCAGAATGATCATCATCATCGTCATCATCATCATCGTCATCATCATCATCGTCATCATCATCATAATCCGCCTCGTCGTCTCCAGCCTGTGAGTCCTCCCCCTCCCTCCCTCCTCCGTGGCCGCATCCCTAGCGCCATTCTCACGAAGAGGGGGAGGAGGAGGTGGAAGAGGAAGAGGAGGAGCAGGGGTAGGAGGAGACAGAGAGGCATGGAGACGGAGCGGCAGGGGGATGAGGAGGAGGATCCTCCCCCACCTCCTTCAACTCCACTTCCTCTTCATCCTCCTCCTCATTCTCGCCATCCTCACCAGTATCGTCATCGTCGTCGTCATCAATTCAGCATCATCAACGTCAGCATCATCATCCTCTTCCGCTGCTTCGTCTCCAGCCTGTGAGCCCAGGAGGAGGAGGAGGACGGAGAGGAGGGGTGGGGGGATGAGGAGGACCATCCTCACCATCGTTATCATCATCATCATTGTCATCGTCGTCATCCTCGTCATCACCACCATCAGCTTCATCAGCATCAACATCATCATCAGCATCATCGCCATCACCATCACCATCAACCTGATCATCATTGGCAGTGTCGTTGTTAGTATCATGGACATCATCATTATCATCATCACCACCACCACCATCATCATCATAAGCATCACCATCAGCATCATCAGCATCAGCATACTCAGCATGAACATCATCATCCGCATCAGCATCATCAACATCAGCATCAGCATCATCAGTATCATCATCATCATCATCATCACCATCATCATCATCATCAGTTTCATCATCATTATCATCATCGTCGTCATCATCATCATCATCATCATCATCATCATCATCATCATCATCATCTCCCAGGGCGCATGCTCCCTCGCGCAGAGGTGCGCGGTGCGGCGTGTGCGGAGGAGGAGCCAGAGAAACCAAAAGACGCATCAACGATGCTGTAGCCTCACCATAAGTTCCTACAAGCATCCCTTCTTGCTAATGGGAGCGCCCCCTTTGAGTAAAACGGAGGGTCATGTGAAGGAGCCGCCCTCTGCCCTTGTAATTATTGCACGGTTCCAACACGTCTGACCATCATGCTTGGGAGAGTCTCCAGCGAGAGCATTATTTTGAACATGAAGCGTCGTCCATCCGCTTCTTTGTTGCACAAGTGTCTGAAGAAGTCGTGAGCGAGAGCCTCTTTCAGAAAGGGAGCCGCCCTCTGTCCTGCTGACTGTTGGAAGACGTCACGACGAATACGCGCTTCGATAAGGCGAGAACCACATGTTGCAAACCACCCGGCATCCATCTTCCCACCCGTTGGTAATGTTCGAGACGAATGAATGCGGCGTTGAGGCGAGAGCCACATCTTGATAACAACCCATCCCTGAGGTTTAAAACTACACCTTAGGCGATGCTTAAGAAAACTTAAATGTTCGGCCAGAGTCTCGATTATTCTTAATGTTTCAACGTAAATCCTAAGATTTGAATGGGAATGTTGGGTTTTTTTATCCAAGTTCTGAGACTATGAATTTCTTAACCCATGATTTCTTAAGCATTTCGCAGGGTGTACTTGGACATGTTGGGAACGAGAGCCGCTGTTTGGAGACGATCCCCTTCAGTCCAGCAGTATACTGGGAACTTGCAGCGTAAGGATCCCTGCCAGTGAGGGGGTGCCCGGGCCCGCTCTGCCGACACGTTTCGCGGTGCGACGAGAAGGGGTGATGTATATCAGGAGGGGAAAAAACACACAGACACAATTAATCCTCGATTCCCAGGAAAATATGGGAAAATATGGGAATTGGGGGGGAAGACAAAAACCCAGAAAATATGGGAAAATATGGGTTCTATTTTTATTTGTGTGTATTTATTTGTGTGTCCTAATTTCCCTTTAGTATAGGGGATGCGGTGGACTCAAGAGGAAAGGACGAGGAAGAGAGGGGAATGGAGGAGTCAGAGTCACAGTCTTATCTAGGAGGGGTGGGGGAAGAGGGGGAGGATCAGCAGCAGCACACCCTAGTTGGAGGGCTCTCGCACCAAGGAGCACGTATGAGGCCACGTTGCGATCCCGAGGCGGTTTTGTCGCCAGTCGGTAATTTGGTCAATCGGTTGTCTTCATGTGAATTCGCCACGCATGACCGCACCAAGGGAATTTGGTCGGTGTTTGCACCAACGGCTTTTGCACACTATGAGGCTGCCACATGACTGTGCCCACGGAGCCTGCACTAAGCACGGATTCAAGCCTGAAGGTGTCACCTGTGATCGCGGCATCACCGTTTGACGTTTTTTTCCCCAATCAGTGTTTGCACTAAAGGGGTCCGAGCAGAAATTGAAAGATTTGGCGAAAGTTTCCCGCCGATTTTGGTGGCTGGCTGGGTTCCCGGGTTCCCGGTTCCGGATTCCCGGGTTCCTGGTTATTGGTTCTGGGCCGATTTCGGTGGGTTCCGGGTTCCTGGGTTCCTGGTCGATCTCCTTCTCGATCTCTCGATCGATCCCATGTCAAGCCATCCACTGATAGGGGGTGTTCCTCTGTGGTGTGGTCCAAGTCTGGGTATGTGCGCCAGCGTGGGCCCGGAACACGGCGGCATTTCTTGATGGGGCGAGCGGTGGCAGGCCCCGGCCCGGACTTGGCGCGCCCGTCTCCGGGGGCAGTGGCGCAGGCCTGCCGCCTTGGCGTGCGCGGCTGCAGTCGGCCTGGCCACTGCTCGGGTCATTCCGTATCGTTGAAGCGATCCCCATCCCCATCCCCATCCCCTTCGAGACCCTCACCAAAATACCACACCAGTTGGGGACATACCCCTCGAAGCCCGAAGGGAGCGACCTATATCCCCATCTAGGGGGGGTAATTCGGCCAGTGGGGCCCAGGCCACGCCGCTGGGGACGGATGGGGATCGGTTAAACGATACTCAGTCTGCATCCGCAAAGAGAGCTTCTTTCAGAGGCCAGGCGAAGGCTGGCAGACCCGTGGCTGCCCAAACGGAGCTCCAGGAAATTGTGATTTCTTCCTTCCGGGGAGCAGCCCGTGTACTATTTGGTGCGCTGAGTTTTCTTCCGGTGACTTCTTCGTTCTCTTCCGGGAGGAGGAGGAAGAGGAGGAGGAGGAGGGGGAGGAGGAGGAAGAGGAGGAGGAGGAGGAGGAGAGGAGGAGGAGGAGGAGGAGGGAGGAGGAGCAGGAGGGAGGAGGAGGAGCAGGAGGAGGGGGCGAAAAGGGGGGGGAGGAGGAGGAGGAGGAGGGAGGAGGAGGAGAGGAGGAGGAGGAGGAGGGAGGAGGAGGAGGAGGAGAGGAGGGGTGGGACGAAGAGGGAGGAGGAGGGAGGAGGGAGGAGGGAGGAGGTGGGAGGAGGAGGAGGATGAGGAGGGAGGAGGAGGAGGAGGAGGAGGAGGGAGGTGGGGAGGAGGAGGGAGGAGGAGGGGGGGGGAGGGGAGGGTGGAGAGGAGGAGGAGGTGGAGGAGGAGGAGGAGGAGGAGGAGGAGGAGGGAGGAGAGGAGGAGGAGGAGGAGGAGGTGAGGAGGAGGGAGGAGGAGGAGGAGAGATGGAGGAGGAGGAGAGGGAGGAGGAGGAGAGAGTGAGGAGGAGGAGGAGGAGGAGGAGGAGGATGGGAGGAAGGGAGGAGGGAGGAGGAGGAGTGGAGGGAGGAGGAGGACGAAGAGGGAGGAGGAGGAGGGAGGAGGGAGGAGGAAGGAGGTGGGGGAGGGGGCGGGAGGAGGGAGGGGAGGAGGAGGACGGAGAAGGGGGGAGGGAGGAGGGAGGAGGGAGGAGGGAGGAGGGAGGAGGAGGACGAAGAGGGAGGAGGAGGAGGGAGGAGGGAGGATGGAGGACGGGGGAGGGGGGAGGGAGGAGGGAGGAGGGAGGAGCCACGGGCTTGCCGGCCCCCGCCCAGCTTCCGGCAGAGGGGCGGGGCGCCCCGGCACCACGAGACGGGCGAGGGGGGGGCCCGCCCCGCGGGTCGAGCACGCAGGGGCCAGCGGGGTGCTGCGCACGTCTGCGTCAAGTCGTCACCACCTACCAAACCACCTCAACCCAACCCGAAGGCCCAAATTTATCCTCGATTTCCAGTGGGGGGGGGTCGGGGAACATCGAAAAAACACATGGGATCCGTACCCCCCCCAACCCGAAATTCGGGTCGAATTCGGGCCTTCGGGTTGGGTTGGGGTGGTCTGGTAGGTAGTCAAGTCGGGCCTGTCCCTCCACGGTAGGTTTGCGTCGTGTCGACCAGCGGCGACCCCAGCGCGGGCGTTCAAGGTTGAACGCCGCCGGCGACCCAGGTTGCGATCGGACGTTGAACGATCGGACGTTGCGGCAGCGGCCGATCGTTCAAGGTCGAACGATCCCTGCGGTGTCAAAAAACCAACGCTGGGGTCGGCACGACACGAACCTGCCGTACGGGGAGTGCTCAAAAATAGTCAAAAAGATAGCCTGGGGACTATTGTTTGAGCGTTTGGGGGGCATATGTTTGGGAGCATTTTTTTGGGATAGTTTGGCTCTTGCGTCCAAAAAATCCCCCTGTAGGGGGGGGGGAGGCCCGACCTGAAGTTTGCGGCCCTGTGCAAGACAGTGTCCTGTGCCTTGCTCCGGCCCGCGCCCAGTGATCAGAATGAGGCGAGCACAAGTGCACACTGTTCATGTCTAATTCTTCGGAAGTCCTTCGAATTTTTGTTGGGGGGACAAGATCCTGTCATTTCTAGTTGTTCTATCCTGAGCCTCTTCCTGACCACTGGGGGGCAAGGAACAATTAGAAATGAGCGCAATCAGACATGAGCGACGTGTACGGCCCTGTGCAAGACAGTGTCCTGTGCCTTGCTCCGACCCGCGCCCAGTGATCAGAATGAGGCGAGCACAAGCAGGAATTTGAGAGCAGGAGGAATCAGACCATAGTGAAAACCTATGTGCTGCAGCGTGTGTGTTGCAACGTGGAGCGCTCCAGAAAGGGCCTTGCCCTGGAGGACCGACGGAGTTGCCGTCTCGTCCGCGGAGGCGGAAGTAAAACGAGGCCGCCTCCACCGGCGGAGGCCGGCGGAAGGCAGCGGAGGGGCGGCGGAAGGCCGCGCCCCCGAGAGATGAAAACGTTTTTGGGCTCAGGATTTCCGAAATCGCCCACCTTGGAGGCCTTTATCCACCGTCGACCGGCGCCGCGTATTTTGCGCTGCCCCGTGCGAGGACGACGCCCTGCTCGGGCGCAGCGCGCTCGTGCGGCTGGGGGCCGCGTCGAAGTGGCACGTGGAGGGCCAGGCGCGGGCGGCGAGGAGCAGGGAGCAGGGAGCAGCAGGGAAGGGGGGGAGGATCGAAAAGGGTCGAGGGTTCCCAGACCACCCAGATGGGGACCCGAGCAGGTGGGGTCGGAGGATCGCGCCGCACCGCCGATGCATCGGCGATGCGCGGCGCGACCTGGGGCCCGCTGTCCTCCACCACGCCGTCGCCGATGCATCGCCGATGCGGCGCGTGTGTCCGAACCCCACTTGCACAGGCCGAATGCTGGACTGCTCCTCTCCTCGTGCTCCTCCTCGCCCTCCTCCTCCTCATTACCATCCGTAGCTGCTGCGGCCCACGGCCGGGAGCACGGCAGCCATGACCGCTCGGTTCAAGCCAGGCGGCCGGCCCGAGGCACACACACGGCAGACGCGGAGCTGCTGGCAGACCGTCGGCTGAGGGGTCAGACGCGGAGGAGGAGCCCGTGGGAGCGCGGGCGGGCCCCGCGTCGGGGGGCGCGGAGCCGTGAGCGCCTCGCCCGCCGTCAGTGGCGGAAGCTGCTGGTCTCAGAGGCGTGAGGGGGGGCCGCCCACGCGCCCGGGAGTCCAGCGCGCGCGCCGAAGCGCGGGCGCCTGGGCGCGCGAGGCCCCGACGCGGTGCGCGCGCTGCGCGGCCGCGAGCGCGGGCGGAGGGGCCCGCCTTCGGAGCGACGGGGCCCGCCCTCGGAGCTCCTCGCCGCCGCGGACTGGCACCCCGCCCGTGCGCGGCAGTGGCCGCTGACGGGCAGCACGGCCGACGGCGGGAATTCAGGAGCGAAAGAAGGACGTACGTGTACATGAATCCACGCTGGTTTCGAGAGCACGCATTGCACAAATGTTCGTATAACGCGGCCGGTCTCGCGAATCGAGGGGCCGTGTTCATGTACATAGCTGGGCGCGTACGTCCTTTGTGGGCTCCCTAGGAATGTCCGCGGGAGCAGGGGGACGTCGGGGCCAGGAGCACGTCCACCATGCCTCTCCTGTGATTGCCCGCCTTGCGGTCGGCAACCGGCGGCCCGAGCACTGTGTGTCTATGTCGCTCCACGCCTGTCGCCCAGAGAGCCGGCAGCAAAACTGCACACTGTTCGTGTCTGATTCTTCGGGAGTCCTTCGGTTTTTGGGGGGCCAAGATCCTTTCATTTCGAAGTGTTCTATCCTGGGCCTCTTCCTGGCCACTAGGGGGCCAGGAACAATTAAAAACGGGCACGGTTAGAAATGAGCACGATTAGAAATGAACGACGTGCACGTACACACCATCGCTGTCCCATGGCGATTCTGCGGAGCCCCAACGGACAGGGCCCAGATACCTCGGTGTGCATACGCGCGGTGCCCAGGACGGCAAGGGGAAGCGGGTCCACTGCGGCGAGCCACGGCCCGAGGAGCCGAAGGGCCGTGCCGATTGCGAGGCGGAGCTGGCCGGCGGGGGGGACGGGCCGCAGGACACGGGCGGGCGCGCACGCGGACAGGCAGGCTGTAGTGCAGGAGCCGCCCGCAGAGGCTCCCTCGCAAGGGCACATCGCAGAGGGGGAGCTCGATCCCGCCTCCTCGTCCTCCTCCTCCTCCTCCTCCTCCTCCTCCTCCTCCTCCTCCTCCTCCTCCTCCTCCTTGCGTCCTGAGTCCTGAAGGCAGAAAAATCTTCCACACGACGCCCTTCTCCTCATCTCCTCGTCTTGCTCTCTCCTCCTCCTCTCCGCCTCTCCTCCTCCTCCTCCTCCCTTCTCTCTTCCTCCTCCCTCGCTCTTCCTCCTCTCCTCCCTCCTCCTCCTCTCCTCCTCCTCCTCCTCATCCTACTCCTCCTACTCCTCCTACTTCTACTCATCCTCCTCCTCCTACTCCTCCTCCTTCTCCTCCTCCTCCTCCTCTTCCTCCTCCTCCTCTCTTCCTCTTTGGTGTGGCGCATCAGCTGCCGCGGGCACGCGTGGGCTGCGCTGTCGCCTCGGTCGCCTGGCCACCCCGAGACACGGAGGGGGATCTCGACAATGGCGGCAGGGTTGCGCCTGCAGCTCGGACGAGGGTCCCCCGGGCGCTGGCGAGGCTCCGGGCGGCGAGGCTTGCGCTGGCCTGGAGGGTCGCACCACGGCTGGGGCGGACGCGGGGAGGCCCTGCGGGGTCTCAGCACGGGCCGGCCTGGAGGACAGGCTCGAGGATGGGCTACGCGCAAGAGGCTACACGCAAGAGTGACCCTCAGAACAGGAAAATGTACCCATACCGCTACCGTCCCCTCGTTCTCCCCTTGTTGGGGCCGCCTGGGAGGCCCTCGTCGCCACCGCTGGATTCGCTTCGAAATTCTGGTCAGAACGCACCCTGGGAGAGGTCCGGGGAGTAGCGGTATGGGTACCTTTTTGATTTCCCCAGGCGCTTCGCCGGAGTGACCTTCAGCGCGGGCTCACATGGGCCCTCCGAGCACTGGCCTGCGCGGCTGGATTCGGCCCACCCGCGGCCCCCTGGAACCGCGCGCCCAAGGCCACTCTTGCCTAGGGTCACTTGCGCTTGCAGTCGAGAGGGCCTGTGTGGCGCTTGGGCTGACTGCAACCCCGCTGCCGCCAAGTTGGAGGGGCTGCAGGGGCACCCGGGGCACCCGGACGGGGCCATCGAGGGGCTGGAGCAGGAGGCCGCAGTAGGCAAGCTCTTGCCACCCTGGCGGGAGGTCTTAGGCGGGTAGGGCGAGCGTGCCACAGGCCTGGCTACAGCACGGGGCCCCCTGATCGGTGGATCCCATCCACATGGCCGAGTGGAGAGCCCTCACCCTGACCTCCCCAGCGCGCCGACGTCGGCGGCGACTTCGCCTCGGTGCTGCTCGGCTTCGTCGGCCGTGTCCTCGTCAGGAGCTCTCGCGGCCGTCGTCGCGGGTGGGGGTGGGGCCAAGGTCCCGAGGTCCAGCGGGTCGAGCCTCATTCCGTGCGTGCAGCTTGACGGTCTGACAGCTCGTCTTCGTCGTCGTCATCATCGTCGCCCTCATCCTCATCACCATCTCCATCACCATCATCATCGTCATCGTCATCATCATCAGCAGCAGCATCTTCATCATCGTCATCACCACCACCACCACCATCATCATTATCATCATCATCATCATCATCATCCTCATCCTCAGTAGCATCAACAACATCATCAGTATCATCATCAGCATCAACATCATCAGCATCAGCACCACCATCATAATCAACGTCAGCATCATCGTCATATAATCCTAATCATCGTCATCAGCATCATCATCAACAGCATCATGATCATGGAGGAGGATGAGGATCGGCCGGACCAGTTATGATGTGCTTGATGCAGACGTGGGATATTGTTTGTAGCGTCGTACTTGTAGTACCCTCGACCATAATGCTGTGCTGGCACTTCATGTTACGCAGGTCACATGCTGCACAAGTGGTTTCACCTCTGCGGTTTCCGCCGCCAGATTGTAGCTCTGCCAACCGTGGACTTTCGGCAGTCCTCCCATCGGCCCGTGGTCTGCAGGGCGTAGATCTATATTATTACGCAGTCGACGTACTTCTTGCCGAGCTTCGCCTCGACAATTCCTCCGCCGACATCCTCCGCCCTCCTCCGCCCTCCTCCCCTTCTCTCCCCCTCCTCCTCATCCGCCCTCCTCCTCCTCCTCCTCCCCCTCCTAGCCGTTCTGGGGCGAGCCAGGTGCTCGCTCTTGCGGGTGCAATCTTCAGAGCGGCGTGCCCCCGCGGGCCGATGGCGAATGGAGTTGCAGGTGGCACGCGCGGTGCCAGCCAGGGTGGCGACCCCTGGACGTGCCGCTCGTGTGCTGCTGGCTACGCCAACATGGCATGGCGCACGGAGTGCAGGCTCTGCAAGGCGGCGCGGCCGCCACGCGGCGCTGGCACGATCGGCGAGGCCATCAACAAGGCCAAGGCGAAGGCCAAGGCCAAGGGGAAGGAGAAGGTCGTGGCGAAGCGCGTGCGCTTCGCCTCGGACGTGCCTGGGCCTGCCGCCGCCACGGCCACGCCGGCGCCGTGGGCGCAGGGCGCGGCCAAGCGGGAGGCGGAGGAGCGGCCCAGCGGCAGCGGCGGCAAGGACGAGGAGGTTCGCCAGGCCCTCCTCCGCCACTTTGGCCCCAGGGAAGGCTGGTCGGCGGCCCTGGTCCTGGACTTCGGGGCCCTGGTGCCTGTGGTGGACGCGCCGCCGCCAGCGAAGCCCTTGGCCGAGCTGTCGCTCCAGGCCCTCCTGGCCAAGGAGGCGAAGATCAAGGGCCAGGTCAGCCGTGCAGAGGCTGCGCTGGTGGCCGTCCAGGAGGAGCAGGCGGCCGTCGCGGTCCGCGTGGCGGATCAGGCGGACGTCTTCCAGAAGCGGCGCGACCAGCTGGAGGAGGTGGCCGGGGCCGCGCGCGCGAGGAAGCGCGCCGACCTGGAGCAGCACAGGGGGCCGTCGCCCATGGAGGTGGGCGAGCTTGTGGCGGCCGAGGACTGCCTTGGCAAGGTGCTGCTTAAGGGCCTCGAGGGCCTCGAGGCGGAGCGGGAGCGGGTCCTCTTGCTCGGGGAGAAGGGCGGCGCCTTGCTCGCGATGGCCGCCGAGGCCCGCAGCCTCGTGGAGAAGCTCGCCGCCGCCGACGCCCGTGCTCGTGAGGCAGCGGCGGCCGAGCGGGCCCGCGCGGCTGCAGCTGAGGCTGAGCGGGCCGCCGCGGCGCAGGAGGCCGCCCCCGCGGCTGATGGCGGTGATGATGGCGCTGATGGTCCTCATGGGGACCGCAAGCGCGTCGGCGACCTCGACCTTGGCCCCGAGCTCGTCGGGCTCGACGCCGTGTTCGACGAGGTGGGCATGGAGGACGAGCAGCAGCGCGCAGCCTGGCGCGCAGCGCTGGCCAAGCGCCAGCGGGTGGCAGGCCCCGCTTCTGGGTAGCCGCCCGCGGGTGGCGGACGTGGTGGAGCTGGTATCGGCCAACACCACCGCGTGGGGCTCGGCGCAGGTGCTGGTCGAGTGGCTGCACGACGACGTGGGGCGGCTGCCTGCGGTGCTCTGCCTCCAAGAGCATCGCCTCAAGGGCAAGCAGGCGTTGGCCCGCGCGGCGGGCTGGATGCAGGC